GGTTGGGCTGGGCCCATTCTCGATGAGGATCAGAACATGGCTGTGGGGCTGTGCCATGGCCTACTTGGAGGCACAGCCTTGCAGCTAAGCAGTGCCACCTGACCCTCATGGAGAATGGGTCCAACCCAGCCCAGATCACCCAGCTAGTGCATGCCTTTGGACAGGAGCCACGGGTCCTAGAGTTGCATGTTCCTGTCCTGCCCAAAGGTGCACTAGTGGGTTGGGTCAGGTCAACTTGGGTCAGATCAGGCCAGGCCCATTCTCCTTAAACAGACCATGGGTCAGGCAGCACTACAGTGGGCACAGCATGGCCCACTGCTGTTGCCAGCACTGGGGGCTGTGCACCACAGGTTGGGGGCAGGCATGTGGCAGCCCCTCTTCAGGCTCCACCACAAACCCCACATCTTCCCCCCACCTCACATATTCCCACATGCCCTGCCATTCCCCACACACTCCACATTTCCCCACACCCCCCACCACTCCCCACACACCCTCTGCCATTCTTCACACATCCTGTATCCCCACACACACCTCACCACTCCACACACACCCACCGACACACCCCACACCCACAAACCACCCAGAAACCATAATGCCCCCCCAACCAGCCATCACCAGTCACATAGGGCAGCGCTTGGAGCCAGTTCATGCCACTGCCTTGCCCTGTTTCTGTTTGCCTTGCACACTAAGGGTGCATGCTGGGGCAACAGAAGCTCCACAGAGATACTCTGGCCAGATACCAGGGCATCTCTGGAGGAACCACACCTCCAGGTTGCCTGAGGGCATGGGCCTCGACCATGACTTGCCCTGCTTTTTTTCCACGGGTTTTTTTTTTTTTATACCTGGAAATCCAGGTATCAAATTTAGAGCCTGTGCTGCAAATATGCAGTGCAGGGAACATTTTGTTGTTCTCAGAGTGCCTCTCGTGGCATCTCAAACTTGTTTGAGATGCCACAATAGGCACATGTGCACTCATCTGGACTCTCAGCTATATTTCCCTATGTGTGAATCTCTTCCTTTTACTTCATGGAATCAAAACTGATCAGATATATTTCATATTGCAGGTAACCGTTTTGGCTGTAGGGCTTTTAAAAAAAAAATCTCAGTTCCATGTTGCTGTTTCTAAGCTTCAGACGACCATAGTGTGGAGCTTAGTGTTATCTGTGATATGCCACAGACTTGTTACTTTAGAAATAATACTGCTTAAATACCATGCACATCTATCATGCTCTATAAATAAATGTTATCATTTTGGTGCCTAAAAACTATGGTTCGATTTTAAAACCTGCACTTGTACATTTCAGCAGGCTGCCAGCCACTCTAATCCAGAAGTCAGAGTTTTTACTCTCAGTCTCTGAAACAAAGGTTGGATTGGTGAAAATAAGGTAATAGTATGTTTTAAAAAGCTGGTATTTTATAACCCATATTTTATTTTTGTCAGCACATTTGCATCTTTTTACAAATAAAAGTGGTGTTGAGAAATGGATTTCACATGAGGAAAAATAGGATCAGGATTTTGAAACACTACTACAGCTTTAAACAATTACCTTAACCTAATACCTGTTTAAAAACAATTGCAAATTTCGGAAGCCTTTTGGCTTCTTTCTTCTGTGAATTATATCCATCCATCCATCCATACACACACACATATGTATATATATAATAAATGTAGAAGGAAAAAATTAAATAATAAGAAGTAAATATTTCAGGGAAACTGTTACAGACATCTCCTTTAATCCTTTTATTTTTAGCCTATTTTACTAATTGTACTTTAAGTTATCAGGAATCTATTTTACTTTTCTCTGATACTAATTGTTTGCATTTTAGATTTCCATTAGTTTGGTGAGTGAAAATGGATAGATTGCTTTTGTTTAGAGTTCTGCTTTATGGTTCTGCACTAGAACAATTCTATTGCTGTCTTGAGGTCACAAATACAGCATACGGAATCTTACCCAAAAGCTGTTCCCATTTACTTTAAGATTAGGTTTTTGATGTTGTTGCTTTGTTTTAATGATGCAAAACTAATTTTGGGGATTAACAATGTTTTTAATTATAACCTGTTATTTAGTGTTAGGGAAAATGTGCTATACCACATAAGGACTACATAGATTGTAAAAGTGCTCTACATAGCTGCAGATGGAGTAAGAGGGAATGAGTTCTTCACTCAAAAACCTTTCATAGGTAGGCAGGGAAAGTGGCCATGCACTGGAAAGTTCCGATTGGTGCATAGGGGATGGTATAATGCATCAGAAAATGAGGTGTGTAAATCTCTCTTCCCTCTCCTATGCAGTGGAGATACCAAAGGATCATTGTACCTTTGAAACACAGGGCCCCTACTGCTCCATATGACTGGTGTCAGGACCCAGTTTAATCCTTAATCAGTATTAGTCTTGGGAAATCTTGGACTAACTGTCTGCCATTAAAATATGTACAAGAATAGAGCTCTCAGGCTAATACAAATCAGTGAGATTCATGTCCACTTATTTAAAATCATTGCGGAAAAATGTGAAGCAGTAAATCAGACATGTATGCATCTTCAAATTCCAACTATTATGTCTTCAATGCAATTGATGGGTGTGTCTACATGAGTGCATTTAATGTGAATTAGTCCAATTTAAGGTGCATTAAAGGTGCAGGTCTTAATGTGCATGCCTTTAATGCACCTTAAAAATGGCGATTCAAGACTATTTAAGCCTAAATTTGATACCTGCATAAAGTAGGTATCAAGTTTATGCACAAATAACTAAATCACATTAGTGAACATGTAGACATGCTTATGTGCATTAATGCAGTCTGTGTCCATCGACTTGGGACTAACTTTAGTCCCAAGTCAGCCCACACACCCACATTAATGCTCATTGGCATAGTGTAGAGGTGTGCCTAAATTGCCCAAATGCACATTAGGCTAATGTGCATTGAGTTTAGGCGGGCGTCAAAGTACATGTAAACATGCCCAATGTTACCTTTACATAGGGTCCTTAATATGTATTATCACAAAGGCCTTTATACAGGAAGTTAGTTGTTAATTAAAGAGAATAGGAAACCTAATGAAGAAAATTTAAAGTATGTCAGTCAATGGGTTGGACAGACTTGAGAAAGAGACTCTGAGATGCTAGAAAAAGCAAAAAAAAAACTTCCAGAGGAGCTCCAAACTAGGGAAGGAATGAGTTGGAAAAACTGGGGTTAAATACATGTGCATCCAAAAGGGTGATGTAGATTGAGAACACCGCAACCAGGACAGTAATGATGCATTGGAATGGGCCAGGAGTTACTGAAAATGGCAGGGCTGATATGGTTCATTTACTGAGAGAGAGGAAAAAATGAATATATTTTATGATGGTGAATGTGTACTATGTGAAAAGTGATGATACCCTGGACACTGTCAGGAATAACTTCAGCAAAGTCCAGGGGAAGAGTCCATAGCCCTCTGAAATGCAGAGAGAGGGTTTATAAAGACTATAAAAGAGAAAAAAGCAATTATTGGATTTGGAAGAAATTAAGAGAAAAAAGAATGTTATCTGAAGCAAGACTTGAAAAGAGCAGTAATGCAACTACCTTCATGCTATAAAATGTATAAAATAATTAAACATAACTGTTCATGGTAAACACATCAAATACATATATAGCTATCTTCAGAAAAACTAGAAAATTACAATTAAATTGTTATAGTTATGCACTTACACCTGAGCCCTGTTCCAGCCAGAAACTCAACCACCAGTTAACAAAAGCTGAGGTGCCAATCATCAGCATAAAGAGAAGTATAACAAAGGAAGACAGTATGAAACCTAAAAATGGAACATAAAACCAGAATAATAACTGATGATGTCAGAGTGATTAAACACATTGTACTCATTTACTCTGCTGTACACATTTGCAGCAGAGACTTTACATTTTAACCCTTATTTATTCTTCTTTCCCCACATGCAAAGGACTCCTTCCCTTTACAAGAATGGGAATGATAGGTGAACAGGGAGTTTAATCATAAACTCAGGGAGAATACAGGCATTGATTTTTGTAAGAGAGTTTCTCTCACAAAGGGTGTCTTCCTGGTAGATACCTAAAGACCTTTTGCCTGAAGGGGCCATGTTGCCCCCCGCCCCCAGGGAGAAATTGAATGAATGCTTGTACACTTGTAGTCACTACTGAGGGCGGTGATTCTCCCTGTAGAAACATATAATGCATGTATGTGGCCTCAGTTTTTTTCCAATGAAATTAAGGAGCATTTTGTCCAAGTAAAAACTGAGTAAGGGCTACAGACTTTAACCCAAAGAGAAGGGTGTTCATAATAATTAGATTTTTGCATTTACCAGAATGTTGGCTCACAGCCAGATTCTGCAGTCCTTGCTCACAGTAATATTTATTCATGTGAATAGTCCCATTGTGCAGAAATGTTAATCAGTGTGAATGTGGACTTCAGAATCTGGTGGAAGGGAGAACACTCTTGATGTAGATAACTGCACACACAAACCACCAGAATCTTTCTGAATGAACTCAGAATTGAAATAACAGATAATGCTTTTTGCATACAAGCAGGGCCAGATCCAGAGGGTTAGTGCAGTGCGATTGTACCCCCTTCACTGCTAAGAGCTTTTGTCTCAACTTCCAGACGTATATACAGTGAGCTCTCCACCATCACTGCACACACTCTTTTCTCTATCCTGGATCCACGACTGGGTACAAACTGTTATAAGAATTAGTAATATACATGTAAAATCTGATAAATGGGTCTCAAGTCCATTTATGTATGTTATGTCTGATTTATGCACACAAATACTTATTTTCATGTATATAGTTAGTAGGGCTGTGCAAAATTTCGCCCAGTGTTTTATTTTGAAGTTTTGACACATTTTGAGCTTGAACCAGCGAAATCAAAATGAAACAAAAAGCACTGAAACAGCTTCAAAACAAAATGAGGGCACTCAACGTTTCGAAAGTTTGAAAATGTTTCAAGTTTCAAAGCAGCCTGGTGGTGGGAGGCAGGGGAGAGCTGGGGCTGCGCTCCGAGTGGTTCCACAGCCCCATGCAGCTGAGCCCAGCGGGGAGCACAGTGCTGGCTCTGCCTGCCTCCCACTGCTGGGCTGTGCTCTGTGGGGCTGGCAGAGCCTATGTGGAGAACTACATACTGAGGAGTGCAGCCCGCTGGCAAGAGGTGGACAGAGCCGAGGCTGTGCTCCACCTCCCACTGCTGGGCTGAGCTCCATGGAGCCTGGCACAGATCCAGGGGCCTGCATAGCCCAGCCCTGCAGCCCTTCTGTGAGTGCGGGCCCCCGGATCTGCACCCAGATGACAGGAGGCTGCCGCTGCTGCCTGGGGCCAGAGGCAGCATCTGTCTTCCCCAGTGCTGGGTGTGGGCTGCGCCCAGCGCTGGTCCCAGGCAGCAGCAGCAGCCATCTGTCATCCAGCACAGATCTGGGGGCCCACACCCCTGGGAGGAGCCCCCGGATGAAAAGAGGCTACTGCTGCCAGTAAATTTTGCTTTTGAGACTTTGAGGTGCAGTTTCTGAGAAACCCCTACGCCTATCTCCTTGAGACTTGGCAGGCTTCATGCCCTCAGATGGAGCTACTATCCCTGCAATTTGCATCTGAATCAGGCAACAAATGACAACATTTTAGGTATTTTCATGATTCCCCGTTATAGCCTATAGGTGAAACGTCGAAATGAACCAAAACGACGAAACAGTTTTGACAAAACGAAATGGGACAGTGCTTTGAAATTAAACAAAATGATGAAGTGTCCCTTCAAAATGGTGAAACGGACATCGAAACAAAACAATGGTGTTTTGCACAGCCCTAATTAGGGTGTGTGGCCAAACAATTGGGTACACTTTTATAGTTACAGTTGCTTTGTCTGTGATTATCTTCAAACATTATTTATTTCAGCAAGGTAAAATCTTAAGACTAACATATTCACATATAGATACATAATTCATGTAATTTTCTTGTATAATTCTAGGTTTAGAGATTGGCTAGAAGCAAAATCTCACGGCCCGATACCCTAGAAATTTGTGGGATGTAGAATTTGAACCTGAACTATATGTATGTCTTACTACTCACTTCTCAGTGGCATGGGCTAGACTAAACCCTAAATGTGAAGAATTCCAGATTTGAATGAGCCTGAAATTTTGCTCTTTAGGCTCCACTCAAGCTGAATTTTCCTCTAGGTATTGAATTTTTCTTAAATTATTTCTCATGTACTAAAATATTTCTTTGTAAAGAAGAAAACAAAAAAAGAAACCTGCTATTCTATTTTTTAAAACATATCAGCAGTTTACAGTGATTTATTTCTTCAGAAATACAATTGTTTTTGTGCATACTTGTCTCATTTCAGTAAGGCTAAAGTAGAAAACTTTAACATGAAAAATGAGTCAGTATGGTACCATGGTATCAGAGTTTAGCTTTAGGAAAGAACATTGATAAGAAATCTTTGTTTTAAAAACAGAACTGTTAAAAGAATAAGTGAAAACTTCTACATAAAGACATTTTTGCAGAATATACCTCCAGATGCTTTAATATAAGCATGATAAGTTTTCCATGTCACTGAACCTTCCAGTTTTTCCTCTTTTTGAACAAGCTGGTTTATAGGACCTGTAACACAAACAAAAGCACATACATGGCTATAAAAAGGTGATATATTTAATCTAGTATCAGCCAATCCTATGTATGTGAAATCAAAATAACAACTCAGAAAAATCAATACACATAAGTACTTCTTTCTTTGTTGCTTCAGAAGAATCTCAGTGAACATATTCCTTCCTTTAGAGAATCCCTCCTTGTCTCAGTGCTGCCATATGGTACATGCTGCCTCCAGTTTGTAATTGCTATTGAATGACTAGAAAATTGTGATACGAATTAAAATGTAAATTATATGGATTTGCTAAAAATGATCAATAGCGTGCAGTTTTGAATGCAAAACCTTATTGATATTCCTGTTCTCTGTTCTCTTCTTCAACAGAACAAAATACAAAGGTCAACCAAAGCAAAGAATAAGAAACCACTTAAGACAGTTATAAAACTGTTTTTGGCATTTTAATTCCTATCCTGCTGCAGTATAGAATTTGACCCAATGCAGAGAACGTTTATAACTAAAAAGTTATTTGCTGTCTATATTAGTGCTTTACAAAGTACCCATAACTTTATTTGGCTTACAAAGTATCCTCCTTAAAAGCAGAAATACAACAGTTGTTGAAATAAAGGTTTCACCCAGGTTGGGATATATAAATAAAAACCTGTAGGTCAACATTACCCATGTGACCTTTGGGTACCTGAGGGTAATGGCTTATGTTTTAGCAGGAGCAATGTTAGCTTCTTCTTTTTTGAAGAGGCTGTCCTAACACTTTTCAGAGGTACCCGCCTTGCAGGAGATATGTTATTCGTCCTATCTACTCCACCTCTTCCCTACATTTTTCTGATCAGAACCCCACTCTTACAGCATATTACATTTCATACATTTCAAAGTTGTCCCTGTTCTTCCAGCTAGGTTGAAAATACCTCTTTGACTGCTTTACCCTACCACTATGGGAATACTTGCATATAAGGAAACCTCATTAAATACATTGTCTACCATTAAACATGCTGCCAAAAGCAGCATGTGTTCAGTAATGGAAACCAACTATGAAATTGAGTAAATGCTGCCAACTCTGAGCATGACTATAAAATGCATGGTCCATATTGAGCAAACACACTGATAGGAACCTTATTATTATTATTATGAAAGTACTTTACAAAAAATACATTAACTAACAAACAAAACAATAAGGCTTAGGTCAAGACTTAAAACATGTTTCCATCAGCTTCCAAAACTTTAACAAATAAGACCCCCAAAAAATAGAAAATGTATACATTATCTAATGATTCCCTTCTTCCCCGAATTCCCATTTAATATAGAGCACCAAACATTTTAATTTCTTAATATCACATTATTCCCTGTCACCTTCCAAGCTCATCTATTAATGCCTATCACCCCTTATTTCATATATATCTTAGCCCCTATCATATCTTTTCCTAGCCAATTCTTGGCCTGCGGCTATACCTCTGCCACCTCTCAGGCCTCATCATCTTTTTAGCTTCCTAGATCTACTAGGCATCTCCATTCTTTTCTTTTTCATAAATCCATCACCTACTCCTTGCCTAGTTCTCTCGTGTCCCACCAGCAATACTACCCCAGTTTGCTCAAGCCCAAATGCTTCTACAGAGAGTTCCAGTTGTTGTAAGACTAGTAAGTTTCTTGCCTTCCACAATGTGTGCAAAAGCTCACTACAGCATTCCATGCTCCTCTTTCCTCCCTGGCTCACTCCACAGAGAACCACTTCTGTGGAGTGTGAGTTAGCTGTTAGCACCCAAGTGTTGGAGTTTCTCTGCCTTCCCTCAGACCATTTTAGTGAACTGACACTCCCACATCACATTTGCTATGCTGTCATCCCTGTGACATGTTTGTCTGGGGCATTCACCTGTTCTACACATACCCCAACTGTAATGGAGCACCCATACCATTATAAACCAATGTGCTAACAGTGAACCAAAGTCCCAATGCTGTTTCTGCAAGCTTTTGTCAAACACCTCCTTCCAAATTGTCCGGGCTTTGTCCCCTATGAACTTCCCAACTGGGAACATAGTCTCCTTCTCCCTGACCCAGGCCTTGACATTTTTATGGTCCACCAACTCTGTTGCAGCTATTGTCTGCACACCGTACTGATTCACAAAGTTTACAATCTTCTAGTACATTGTGAGCTTTGTCCAGACCCAGGGCCATGAGAGTGACCTTTTACATGTATTTATGCAAGACCATTTCTGCACACAACTGGACAAACTCAGCCCATTTGGTGTCCCCTTTCTCCCTTCTGTGGAGCATAGATTGAGATACTGTGCATAAACAAGCAGAAACACATCTAGGAAGCCCCACCCTCCAGTCTATTTCTCCTTGTTTACTGTTGTTCTCCTAAGCCTTTTCCTTTTGGCTTTCCAAAAGAACACCATTAGTTCCGATTGAATCTTGTGTGCAGTGGTCCACAACAGAGGAAACACCATGCCTACATACAGTATGATTGGAAGTATCACCACTTTAACTACATTTACCTGTCCTGCCATCAACTCCTTGTGTTCATATCAGCTCCATTTTTTGTTTAGCCTTCCCTTTCACCTTCTTCCAGGCTGTTTCACCTGTCAACCACACATACACCTCCACACCCAGTATCTTGGTTTGGTCTGTTGTGACCTGTAACCCCAGTTTTCTATTCCTTCCATCTTCCCCACCACCAGGCACTTACTTTTTCTACATTTAGTTTTGCCCCGATGCCTTTTTGTATTCATTTGTATTATTGCCCATTCTAAGGATGATGGTGAAGTGGGATCTAGGAGATAAGGATCTCCCAGCCCTTGCTCCTTGACTGCAATCTCAGACCAGGGGCCTGGGAGCTCCCTGCTTCTGGGATAAGCAGGCATAAACCCTGCCGAGGGTCCAGTGGCAGAGTCCACCCTGGCAGCAGGTAGCTCTCAGAGGGCAGGGAGAAATCTCTTGCCCCCTGCTGGCAGGCCAACTGGGAGCAGATTTGCTTCCAGTCAGGCATCTACATGAGTGCTACTGTGTAGAACTTATCACAAGTAAATCTGATACTTGCATTTGCAGGTAGCAAATTTAATTACAATTAGACCAGTTTACTGCACAGTGGGCACATCTACATGTGCACATTTACTGCACAGTAACTGAAATTACTGCACAGTAACCAAAAATTACTGTGTAATATGGATGGTATCTACACATGTATGCCCGTACTGCACAGTAAATATGGCAACTTACACCAACTTGGGCAAATAAATTTGATATCTGCATCATGCAGGTATCAAATTTACACACGATTAGTTACTGCACAGTAACACACATGTAGACACTTTACTGCATAGTAACACTGTGTATGTGGACTGACTTGGGTCTAACTTTAGTCCCAAGTTAGTCCACACACAGCATTACTGTGCTTTAACATGTGCACATGTAGACGCTAGCCTAAACCCACTTACTGCACAGTAAGTTACTGTGCATTAAATTTAATGTGCAGTAAATTCACATGTAGATGCGCCCAATGGGCACATCTATATGTTCATTAATGTGCAGTAGTTAGTGCTCATTTAATTTAGTGCTTGCTTAATGAAGTATTTACTAAATGCATGGTAACTACAGTTACTGTACAGTAGCACTGGTGCATGGGTTTTTAGTGATGCTTACTGTGCAGTAGCCCAATACTACTGTGCAGTAATGTATTAGCACATTTTTTGCCTGGAATGCTACTGCGCAGTGTTATTTGACTACCGTGCATTAAAGGCCTTATACAGATGAGCCCAGTAAGCATGCGCATATGTAGACACACACACTTACTGCACAGTAAACTGTTCTACAGAGCAGTAAAGCATCTCGTGTTGACGCACCCAGTATATAGGAACTATTCTGAGGTAGTTTAGCTCACAGTAAAAGAAGATTAAGTTACTGTGGATTAGCTGTCATTTATTGTTATGTAAGAATGTAAACACAGGCAATTACTGTGGAATAGCTAACATGCTGCAGATCCCCACCCCCGTTTACATCACAGTAAGTTGCTTGTGTGTCTGTGGCAGAGCACCTTTGGTGCTTTCCACTTTAAAGGGCTGGAACAGGCAGCAGAGCAGCTGGCAGGTGCAGGCCAGACCTGATGAGGCAGTCACATGACCGCAGGAAAGCCCTGGGATAGGAGGGAGGGGCTGAGCAGTCTCTATTTTAACCCAGGCTCTCAGGGATGAGCCAGAAGTTTTGCTGTAAGCAGCCAGTGAAGAACATTGCCTGCTTGAGCTGCTGCTCATGGAACGTCCTTGGAGGAAAGGGCAGGAGCTATGGGGCTGGCAGGAGGCTCCTGGTCCTGGGGCATGATGTAAAACTACAGCCTGCTGGGGTAGGGTGGTGTGGTGGGGCTGCCTGTGGCAGGGTGGTCCCCAGGCAATGCCATGCCAGTTGCCTCCATAGTGAAAGGTGAGTAAGGGGCATCTTATAGCCCTAGTTCCCACAACCTGGTGTGTAACCCAGAGGCGGGACAGACAGTAGGGGCAAGCATGTCTTCAGACACCTGAGCCCATGAGGTGTAAGACCCCGAGGCCCCAGTAAGGGGGTGTGGAGTTGGCCCCAATAAGGGTGTGGAAGAGTGGCCCCAGCAAGGGGGAAAAGTGTTGACCCCAGTGAAGGGGCGTAGTGAGAGAATGGACCACATAGATTAGGGCCCCAAGGGTGGCCTGAAGGGCTGTACTGCAGGCACACAGAGTAGGATAGCAAGGGTGACCTAAAGGTCTGTGTATAGACCAGCCCCACAAATAGTTTGGGGAGTTAGCTCTGGTGAGGGGGTGTAAGTTGTCACCCCAATGAGTGGAGGAGTAACCCCAGTGAGGGGGCAGAGGAGTTGGACCCCAGTATACCCACAGATGTGGTGAGGCTGAGTTTAGGATCAGAGGGAGACACCAGTAAACCCTCAGACATTTTGAGGCTGAGTGTGGGTCAGAGAGGAAGAACTCTGGGATGCCATCTGTGGGGCATGGGACATGGTATAGGGAAGGTCAGAGCTGTGTGTAACATGCTAGGCATAGGGGCATTAAATAGGCAGCCTCTCACATTTTACATCAAGTTTATTACAACAAGTTGTGGCAGGCAAGACAGGGCAGACTGCCCTAGACAGAGGGGCAGGCCAGTATGGTGACTAGCCACAAGCCAGCCCCCTGTCACACTGTCCATACCTGGAGTCCATTTGTGGAAGTCTCACCCATCATAGGACAAATGAGGCACGTCTACAAGTTGCCCTATGGTGACATAATGGCACAGTACATTGCCATACGGTGCACTATGATGACATAGTGTGTCTATACATGTTCGCCAGTTGTGCTGCTGTAGTGGCATGCTCTCTGGGTATAGTGCGCTGCTACAGCAATGTAACAGTGAAATCTAACCATGAGCCAGATGCATAGTGTAGTAAGCACCCATACTGCACTGTGCTTTAGTATTTCCTTTTGTAAGTATCTCCTACCTCAGATTAGCTCCAAAAGGAAGTACTAAAGTACTGTGCCATAGCAAGATCACCATACCACATGGCAACGTGTAAATGCGCCCATAGAAAACAAAAGATTGACATGCCCCAAGACCTTGCAGTCAGTCCAGGCAAGAGGAACTGAGAAGCAGAAACTAGCTCATTATGGATAGAAGGTACATTTTGAAAGTAGCAGTCCTTTTCAAACCAGAAATTTATACTTATTTTCAATTAAACTCATTCATCTAAGAAGCAATGTCTAAAAAGTAGCAAGAGGAAGAGGGATTCTGTTTAACCTACCTGTTGTGCTTCTTCCTTGTGCATCTCTTTCAGGTTCCTTATTGATGATTCCTTCTTTAGGCATGTTGGAAACTGTGAGTATGAAATAACAGACATGTAACTAGACTTTCTTTACAGATTGTAGACAGGAGCCTACTATTCTTTATTAGAATAACTTATTTTACCAGGATTTACAGCTCCTTCATAAGAACTTCTAGAGGTATCGCTCTCGTCTTGGGTTTTCATCCTAGGTTCTATTACTGATTCAATCAATGTTGGCTTCTGTAAAAAATGGCAAATTTGCTAGTGAAATCTGAACCTCCTCTTTCAGTATTCAATAACATGTCAGTAGTGGAGTATGTTTAGTACTAAGGGTTATGTGTTACCTTTGCCTGTTCCTTATGGAGGTTTTCAATTAGCTGGGCATAGCGTCCCTGTTCTTCCATTAATTTTTTGTGAGTTCCAGTTTCACATATTTCTCCATCTTCTAATAAAATGACTTCATCACAGAATTCCAAATACTACAGGGTTTTTAAAAATGCGAGAGTGATTCTATAAAAATTGTTGTGATTACAGTAGAAATAAATGCATGTATCTAGTATTTTTAATAGAATGATGATAATTAACCAGTTTCATTTCACAGTTGAGAAAATTTCAGCAATTTCATGTTCATTTGCTACCATCATGCAAGCGTCAGTGTTCCTTTATTGTGTCACAGTTGAACATGTAAAGGGATTGTTTTTAAAATGGCTTTCCAATACGGTCAGTTTTGTTACAAGTATTCAGTCAAAATGATCAAAATAGCTTGCCTGGATTCCTTTTAACCAACTAAATTGGTTTACTTCTCAGCTGAGGAGGAATTGCAAAGAAAAGAAACTGTTCATAGCTGTATTGCCTTTGGACTGTTTCTGTGCTGAGCCCAACATAGTTTAGAGCAGCCTAGCTCTTAGCTGGGTATGACCCCAAAGGTCTGACATATTATTTACAGATTGCCAAAGCACAGGGGTACTCTAATTAATTTACTAATTGCGTTTCTGTTTATTTTGTCTCTGATAAATCTGAACCATACTCCCTAGGCTTAATAAAAACAATGCTTCCTCTACTGCTGCAGGTGTAGAAGGGACCAATGGAAGCAAAACCAGTATGGCTACTGTGCAGGACCTGCTGGGGGCAGGAAGTTAAGGAATACCCTTTGGCTTTCATGATAACCAGCAGCCCATAGTAGATGTTTGGGAGATCCAACATGAAGTTCAGTTGGAAGATCTGTTTCTGCACAAATCTTCCAAGTTCTCCTTGCCTTGTATGTTTCATGGAGTAGGTTGGCTCCACTGGCATTTCCTTGCTTTGTTGAGAGTATTTTTCATCTTTCCCATGTGGACCATCCCATATCCCAGCCAAGACATTTGATCTGGGTAATGGAGACAGGTTTTACCATTAGTATAACTAGGGGTCAGTGTGTAGGGCTTGAGCCCTGGGTCCCTATTTAGAGCCACTGCTGGTGTATATGGAGATAGTAAAGGGGTGGTGGCAGGCCCAGTATAAAGGGAGAATGCGCTGCAGTGGCAGGAGCAGCAGTCAAGGTTTTTTGAGTTTCTGGTAAGGCTCTCCTCTGCTGAGCACCCCACCCTCATCACTGTCTGGCCCTTAGCAGAACATCCCCCACCTTGCCTAAGGCACCTAAATTACCAGTTATATTTCTGGGTTCTATTGCTATGTGTTTGACAGAAAAGCGACCCTAAACCTGGCATAACCTTATCTGGCAGGCCACTTACTATCTTTCCAAAACACATTCATGTGTTACATTGTACTTTCAGTTCAGGTGTAGGCCCTTGTTTGCCCCGGAATGGACTGAGAAATTTGAAGTAGGTGAATAGCAATATGCCTCTAAATTTTGCTTTGTCCCCAATGTTGGGGTGAAACCCATTCCATATAATTTCTGATGGTCCTCCCCATCCTTCCCAACATTCCTCAGGGGGTTCCAGGGAAGCAAGGATGCAGGTGGGTTTTTTTAAGCATCTCACAATTACCTCTTACAAGTCTGCACATCTTGAAGTACACTTACTCATACCGGGGACTCCTGGACATATGCACTGGTGCATTTTCACCATAACAATGAACATTTTAGAAAAAAGTTAGGCAGTTAAATGCAACTGACATTAGTGCAACATTGAGGTTTCCAGATAAAATAAGAAGTAACAACTTTATTAAAGCCTTCTATAGCAGTGTTAATTAGGTTATATTTATCTATTTTTATTTCTCTATATTTCTGTTTACGCTGTTAAATAATAACAACCATAACATATGCACAATGAATGCAGGTCCCCAGTTAATATTGTTGCAGGAATTTTACATTTTGCTTTTCTTGACTTTTCTTTTATCTCTGACCTTAAAGTTTCATTAATTTAGATTTTGGCATTTATTACATGCCATGCTACTTTCTTATATTAGTGCAGGGTATTCTTCTCCAGCTTGTTCTTCAAAACAGTATAAGCTGTTACTTCTGTGCCACCTGCTGGCAAATTGCTTTTATATTACTAGCAGGAAAAAAATATAAATGGTCATACTGGACCAGTGAAAAAAGGAAGGATATTTTTTCCATTACATAGCTATGAGGCATTCTAGTTATAAAAGTGCTAATTCTGAACATAGACATTTATATTCTAATTAAGGTTAAAGTATAAACTGTGGAAAATTAATATTTTGAAAGGGATATATATATTCCTGTTTACTGGAGGAGAGGCCTGAAGCACAGTACTTAGCCAGGCTGGAGAGGGATGTCTGCTCAAATATGAGCCTTATACTCCATATTTATTACATAAGCATAGAGGTCAGAATTAAGCTGGGGGAAAAGGATGGTGTCATACCAAATGAACATTTGAACACAAAATAGGAACAGAAGCATCATCAAAAAACAAGTGGATTCTACCGATCTCATATTGTGTCATTCGCCCAGGAGAGTCCATATGAAAATATTTTTCTCAGAACACACTTGTTGAATGTGGACAATAAATGATAAGATCACAGATATGGGATTTCATCCAAACCCCAAATAAATCAATGGAAAAGTTGATGAGGCCCACAGACAGTGCTGTTCATTGAAGTCTAACTTGTAGATTTTGTTGTATCTGGCTCATTCTTAATATTTTTAATGAAAAACAACTCCATCAGTAGGCCTGATCTTACGGTTCCTGCATACTGTTTTTTCGGTACACATTAGTGCCAATGGTAAGCTCCCCAGCACTATATTGGAAGTAGTTTTCGTTGCTAACTTGGCAATTACTAATAACTCATGCAGCTAATAAAAATGGCTAATAACTCACGTAGTATGGTCAAATGATATTTAATAAATGTTTCTTCCATGTATATTAATAAATTACTCAGTAATCTCTAGTGCATCAGTGAGAAATTAGAGTGCCTAATAAACTAACTACCAATATTTATTTTTAATTATTATGAATTTTTCCTTAAGGTAGCTGAAACATAAACTGATAAAGATATCCAGCACTAATGAGGGAAATGAAGAACTGGAAGCAGCTGATTACATTTTTCTGCTTCTTGATTCAAATTTTGCGTAATGAATTCTATGCTTCACTTCCTGATGTAGGAAACAGTGATGAAATGCAAGGCTGAAAACAAGAACCATCTCAATTCATCTTCGAGCATTTTCTCTCGCAGCAGACCCCAGACTTTACAGGCTGCCAAACCCATTGTCCCACATGAAGCACCTGTGAATTATTTGAATTAGAACCTCACCTCTGAATAGTCATGGCGAATTCAACTTAATTGCCATTTAAGTCTGGTGTGCAAATGGCTGTGCCACATCTGTTTTGATGCAAGTCATATCCTGGCCTAATAAGAATTGCATTAAAGTTGTTGTCTGCTTTTAGCTTAAAGGATGAATCTTTACTTATATATTTCACCATAATTTACTTTAGGGCCAGGAATTATTTTCAGAAAATACATGATGATGATAATGTTTACCTGAAGAGCAGCAACTATGAGCAAAACAAATTTTGTCTTATTGATAGCAAAGAAAAAGAAAATAATAGTTAGAAATTACTTAACACGTTACTTTTGAAAGCACCTATAACTTCCAATTTTACAGTGCAACACGGTGCCACATGAGTACTCCACTCCAGTAGCACTGCTCTGTGTGGGTGCTCCCCAACCATGCTTCTCCCACTAACAGCATCCCCACTGCAGGCGTCACTGGCACCCTAACTTCCCTGGCACGGCATGCTGTCCTGTACTACCACCTCTCCCCACCACCTGGGGCCAGGGCTGTCCCTAGTGGGTGTGAATTGGAGCAACCACTGTGGGCCCCGCACTTTGCAGGGCTCTGCAGTCAGTGCTGCATACATCAATTCCTTTTATAACAGAAAGCATGTTTTTCCTTTATGAAGAATGTATTTGTAGAACTGAATATTGTTTCACATTTATACTTCTACATACATATTCTACAATATATTTTATATTTATAATTATTGAATGTTAATTTTGCTTTATTTACCTGCAGTTGGTGAGTTACAAGTACTATTGTTTTTTTTTTAAGGGCTTCTCTTATGCATTTCTCAAAAATATATTTTCCAACATGTGCATCAACTGCTGACAAGGGATCATCCAACAAGTAAATGTCTCTATTAGAGTAAACAGCACGAGCTAAGCTGATTCTTTGCTTCTGGCCTCCAGAGAGGTTGAGACCTCTTTCGCCTACCTTTAAATGACAAAAGATCATTACATTAGTTTATTTTTAGTATTTAATTTGATAGAGAGAGGGAGATGCAAACACACACACATATATGCATGATGATATTTCATATAGGCTATTTGAAAGTGGGCATGTCTACATGTGTCACTATGGTGATTTTGTTATTGTGCCGTCATTTAGTACTTTCTTCTGGTAACATAACATACCATATCAGTAACACTCCTTACTGCACCATGTGTGCTGTACATGGTTATTTTTAGGCACTACGTTGCCATAGTGCATGATGTCACGGTTCCTGCCTGCAGATGCTATTTCACCATAATGTTTTGCTACAGTGATGTAGCATCATGTAGATGCACCCAGTAGTTTTCATGTAGGTGAAAGTCTGTCTGTAGTTAAAGTTGACCAGTGTTTTACCTTATAAGACCCTGCATTCATTTATTTATAAATTTTGTTAAGTGAGGTGTGTCAGCCAGAACCAGAGGGATTAATAAGTAATATGTATGTGCTTCTTGGAGGCATTTAGTATTTTGCCTAAACAGGTAATATTAGTTAATATAAAGCTTGTAAGTTTGTAAACTGCAAATGTAACTTGTCTGTCATAAGTTTAACCAAAATGATAAAATTAACTGTTCATGGAACTGACTGGGCCCCATAGGCAAAGCTGTAGATGTAAGATTAGCTGACCTAATGGTTTCTGCTCAGGGTTCAGCTTTGATGATAAAAAACTGGATCCAACTGCCTGGCACACCCAACACATTTCAGGAAAGCACATCCCAAGAAAGCATATTCAAATGAAACCTAAAAGGGGTTGGGGCTTAGGTGGAGCAATGTCAATTTCAAACCTAAAGGTGCTACATTATAATTGTTTATTGGATAAACCCAAGTCTGGGTAGTAACCATTTATGATAATTTTAACACTTTTCAATCCCATAGGGTAACAGTTATAGGGCAACATTATAAGTGGCTCTAAAACCAAAAGATTAGCATAAGACTAGGTATAAAAAGCACGTGCATCAGGTAACCAGCAGGAAGGAGGGAACAGAACGGTCATTTCTGTTCCACGCCCGGACCCCAGACTCCCGGTGTGAGTGAGGATTGGATCCTGATCAAGGGACCTTCCCCGGTAATCCCTATGACAGCATCGATCAGGGACGCCTGACTTTGCTGGAATCACTTGATGCGCACCTGGCATTGAGGGACCATCAATAAGTTGCCAACCCATGTCTGTCTATCTGTTGTTTTGAACAGCCTAGTGGATAATACCCTTGCAGTGCTCAGTTGGTCTGCAACAGAATTGATCTATATATCTGTTGTTGTTATCTGTTATTTACTATTAGCTCTTCAATACGGCATTATCTGCTTATCGCATTTATCTTTCTGTTAACTGTTGTGTGTGTGTAAGCTATAATAAATTTGCCTTCACTTCACCCCCAACTTTGCCTCCTTGATCCGAAACTGAATCAAACAACCCAGTTGGCCTGTGATAAAATTGATACACTCACAGTGCCCAGCTGGCCTGTGACAGTGAGGGGAGATAATAGGCAAGAAGAAAGCAACTGGGGAGGAGGTTGATATAGCAGCACAATGAGAGACAGTTATCAGGACTTTACAGAAACTGAGGAAATCACATTTAGGGGGGGGAAAAAACAACCCCAAACCCTGCATCACACAGTCATACAGGTTGCAAATTCAAGTGCTCAGAATGTAAGGAATTTCAGAATTCAGGTTTTTGGGGCAACCTTAATTTCCCCCCTTGAACATATACTTTATGATCACTCTTTCTTTTTTTCCACAGGATTTCTTCCTCGTTCTTTCATTCTCCTTCTGGTTGTGCATAGTACTTGACTTAATTTGCTCCTAAAGTTGGAAGGTGTGTAGTGAATGAGGAAGAAAAGGATGTTCCATGGTACAGACAATTGAATATTTCCCCAGAGAACTGAAGTCTACCATTGCCTCAGCTACAGAATTCCTAAGTAATGCTGGGCAAGCTATTAAAGTCAGAATTTGCAGAGGTGGCATTGCGTGTTTCTCATTTCCTAGGTATCCAGCTTGGGACATCTAGCCTGATTTGTGAAAGTGCTGAGCATTCACCACCATGGCTGAAGTCAATAAGATACCTGCTCTGAACATATACAAATTTACAGAGTGCTAAAACGGTACACTTCTCAAACTGAGTACCCAAAATTCTTTGACACTGGTCCTCTTAGGCATTTGTAAGCTGTAATTTCATTGACATCAAATGGAGTAATGCATATTCAAGGCATATAAGATAAGGTTCATAATTATTAGCTGACTTGTTTTTTTCATCTGAATAAGGGAAAATAATCTTCTGACATTGGCTAAATGGTTTAAAGCACAGTGCTAATTATTGTTACAACAGGACTACCATATGAAAATCAAAACTCATTGCACTAAAATATTAATGTGCTATTAAAAAAATGGACTCAAGAGAAAGCAGTGGGTGAATTACACCAAATGCACAGTGACTCCTGAATTTCCTTTGGTAATACAGCTTCAAGCCACCTGGCAAACAAGCTTATGCTTTACAGATACAACTGAGCCTTCAGTTAAAAGATTATTTATGGTCCTACTTAGATTGCTGAGAATAAAAAACATAAACTGACAAGCTAGCCTGGCCATGGGGGAAGCATTGTTGAATTCCATTATCACAGAATTCTCTTAAAGTTTAAACCTGATTCTATTTCAGGTTAGGGGAATATCTAGTATGATACAGTGCAAAGCAGGTAATAAAAAGAGGAGGCTTCAATGTATTTAGGAACTCATCTACAGTGGCCTAGCCAGCATGTTCAAGTAAAAGGACTTGAGGGGAAAGACAAGAGACACAAGATGAAAAAGAGGGAGACTAGTGGTCTTAAAAAGGAAAGATGAGTCACAGTTTCAGTAGGCTTATGATTACAGTGAAGATAACTCTCCAGTGTTCAGATGTCCCTGAACTTTGGAAAAATGTACATTGAATCCAGACCTGAAACTTCTGGCTTGTGCCTATCTTTACTCTCAGCTAACTTCAGTGATCTCATCCACTCCTTGTGCATCCTGCTTGGTCCAGGAATTACTGAACTAAAAATTCCTAGAAGAAACCACTGGTGATGTAAGTTCTGAAAGGGAGGAACAGTAAGTTGGCAGATTCCTCAGGACATAGTTGTCACAAACCCATTCGAGGGGTTCTCCCAAAACTCTGAGTTTCTCCCCACTGTCCTGCTGATTGTTGCAAGGAACAGACCAAGTTTTTCCCTAGATTAACTCCTTATCCCTGCAAACCTCTGTTCAACTTCCCTTTACTGGGCTTCACAGCTCTGTCAGCTCCAAGTGGCTTCCTCTTGGTTGGTAAAAGAACTCAAGGCAACTTTATGTCCCCCTTCCTGTAGAATGGGTTAGCTTAGAATATCACCTGCCCTGATATCCACTTTACCACAGGCACCAGCAAGGAGACAAAACAATAAAAAGATTTAATAAATAAATACAAGGAGGAAAGAATTACACAAGAAAAACTGACCATAAAGTCTGGAGACAGAACAAAAAGACTATCCTCTCATCTCAGAATCCTTTCTAGCTAATGGCCCACCTCTCAGAGATGCCTTTGCTATTGAGGGGTTGATTCTCCCACATCAGCAGGGGACCAGAGAGGACATGGGAGTTCTCTGTCCCCAGTCCTGGAGCTGCTCAGCTCCCGGCTCCTGCCAGGAGCCAGGAACTGATCAGTGCTGAGATGGGGTTGCACTCTGCCCTGTGCTTCCCCACCCCTTCCCAGCACTGCATGGCTCCTGGCTCCCTACAGGAGCTGGGAGCCAAACAGCACTGGGACTGGGGAGATGCCAGTGAGCCCCTGGCTGAGTAGGGATTCCCCACCCATCAGGGCGTTAGCCAGGAGCTATCCCACTCCTGGGGCAGCTGCGAGCCATACCTCTGCTGGACAGGGATTCCTTGCCCAGCAGGGGGCTTGCCAGGAGCTGTCCCACTCCTAGGGCAGCTGCTGGGGAGCCCCTGGCTGGGCTGGGATTCCCTGTCCAGCAGGCAGCTGGCTGGAACCTATCCTGAGGCAGCTGCCCCCAGAAGTGAGACAGCTTCCAGTAAGCCCCTTGCTGTGTGGGGGAGCCCCACTGGGCCTAAGGCTCACTGGCAGCTGTGTGACCCAGTGTGCATGGGCCCAGGAGAGCTCTGCTAGCTGCTGTGGCAGTTGTCTCCCAGCTCCATGCACGTCAGGACCCCTCCTGATGTGCACAGAGCCAGAAGCCAGCCACTGCTGCAGCTGGCAGAGCTCTCCTGGCCCCACCTGCTTTGGGACTGGACCCCGTTATCCCTGGCAGCCCTTAAGTTAGCACCCCAGGGGAGCCCGGAGTTCCCCCTGGCTTTTGCAGGGGAGCAGAGTAGGGTAGAAGCAGCTCTGTACTGGGATGCTGCCATTGGGAGCAGATTTGTTCCCAACAGGGTGCACATGTAGACACGTTCCCAGGAAAGGCTTACTGCACAGTATTTTACTACACAGTCAGCCTATATCACATTAATACCATGTGTAGATGTATCCACAGCCAGCATAATATAATTCATATAGTGATAAAATCAACATAAATAAATATAGCACAACATTGCATTTTCATGCAGATCATGCATACCATATCAGTAAAACAAGTGTAAGCAAAACCTGCAGGATACCCCTCTAGCACCTAGAATTATAGTGAGGTTTGTGACAATAGTCTAAAGCTACCAAAGTACCTTTTAATTATCTAGAAACTAATTAGGAAGAAGACTGCCTAAGAATTAGTAGCGAAAAGAAGCTTAGTTTTTAATGACATGTATCTGAAAGTTACTGTATAAAACTGTGGAAGTACTTTATGATAGTGGTCAGGTACAGTACTTATAATGTGGTGATTGTGTTAGCAAATGTAGCAACCACCATACTCATTGTAATAGCTAACATTCAGTTCTTGCTGTTTAGATCTGTTTCTCTGATAGCTGGCTGGGACACCTGGGTACCCATCTCTTATTTTTCTCATAGTTACACACCTCTTTAGTTATTTCTTAGAGTGCAGACAGAAGTGACTTTTTTGCATGATTTGGTCCCTGAAAGCACTCTACAGCTATGGCATAACACATGTGCATGGCTGCAGGGCACTTTTAAAATGGCTGACTGTGCAAAAAATTAACCCTTGTTAAATCAGGTAGTAAATGAAGGTGCTCTAAATTAGAGCACTTAGGAATCTTCTATACAGTTCCCTGAAAGGGTTAAGTGTCAGGCCCTGGGTCTATCACATGGAGGTGGCAGAGAATTCAAGGAGACTTAGCTAGCTGACTGTCTGCCTCCATGCAGGTGGGGGTGGGGTGTGATCGAGCCAGCAATGTGGGCTGGGGGGGCCCTGGCCAGGTCCCACCCCCCCGGGAGAGGGTCCCCAATGTCCACTGGCTCTGGAGGAGAAGAACCACCCAGAGGCCCCCCACGTGTACTGACAGCCAGGAGCTTCTAAAGCAGGCAACAGTGCCTCCTGCTGCCTTTGTCCATGCATGGAGGCACTGAACCCCCATGCACAGGAGCCACATATGTGTTAGGTTTGGATGATGCTGTAACTTTAAGCACTTTGCATAAAGTGCAAAAAGTTACAGCGTGATTGAGGTGCCCTTTATAACTTCTGTAAACACCCTTAGTTTTGAAGAAGTGCTATGGGATAATAAAACTTCCACAGAAGGACAGAAAGGAAAATTACAGGAATGTGATTTATCATAATCTCGAAGTCCCTACTTTTGACAGTACTCTAGCCTTAATAGCATACATGATTATTAGCACTAGGTTTGACCCTGTAGCACGGTGCAGGCCTGTGACTGCAACCCAGTTGCAGGGCTGAGACAGAGATTTCCTGTTTACCTGCCTGGGAAGAGTGGCCAAGCTGATGGGAATAATTAGCTGGCCTAAAGAAAGTGAAGAAGCTCCCAGAGAAAGAGGCTGAGGAGGGGGAGAATGTGAGGGAGCTGATCAAAAAGCACCATGCCAGAATTGTCCCTTTCTAGGTCTGTAGAGAGAATACCAGGTGTATGGTTTGTGGATTTAAAGGGCCAGACAGAGAAAAGAGGTGGAAACCTGAGCCCTGCAGCCTGGGACAGAGTACTTTTTCTTTGAGTCTGAAAAGTGAAGGGAAATCAGAGGTTGGTTCCCGTGTTTGTTGTCTGTGTACTTGAAGAGAAGATGTGCTTGTTTATCTGAAGGTAAAGGTCTCATTTGTGTTCTCTAGAGACAAGGCCTCTGGGGGTACAATAAATAGACTGATTGGCCAGTTGTACATGTGCTGGGGGTTTAGTTCTCCCTAAATTGAAATGGTGGGTTTTTAATTGGTGGATTTTTGTTTTGATTAAAAACCCACTGTTTCAATTTAGGGACTTCTGTCACTGTGATGGAACAATGACAGCCCCCGTCAACTCATGTCCCAGACCCTGCCACCATTGGCAGGTTCTGCTGAAAGAAAAAGAAGTGGTGAGGAACCTGATCTTTTTTTTTTCCCCCAGAGCCTGCCCACGTCTCCTACAGCCAGGAGGCAAGCTGCTGGTGGGCTCTGAGCTGCGGGTGGCCCAGGTCCTTCCCTCCGTGGTAGTGGCACCCCCACCCCAGGTGGCACCCACCCACTAGCACCCCACCCAGGCGGTCCCAGGAGGCATCACCACCATGGAGGGAAGCCAGGCCCTCCACAGCTCAGGGGCTGTGCGACCCAGAGGCAGTTCACGTGGGCAAGCTCCACTGAGGAAAAAAAGAAAAAAATGGCTAGGGGCCTGATCTTTTTTTCCCCACTCCCAGAGCCTGCCTGTGTCTCCCATAGCCAAGGAGCAAGTGGCCAGGCCCGTGCACCATCCCTGCCACTATCTCCAGATATATCGCTGTAATTTGTTATGTAGCAAACTAAAATACATCAGATGTCTTTTACTTTGCTATGTAAAAAAGTTAGTTAAATTGAAATATGCTGCCACAGGTGTACAAAGTTACAGAATTTAATTGCAATAAGCCACTGAATATGTGCACTGTGACACAATTAGATTGTCAAAAGGGCAGTTAAACTGCTAAAAAGGGCAATTTCTTCATGTGTACAAGGACCCTTCATCACGTGTACAAGTGCTCATTGTGATCATAAAAGGGCTCTTGAGTCTGTCAGAGGGAGTACACCCCACTATGGACTCCTTGCTGCAGAACTTGAACATGCATTTTTTCTCAAGCCTGAAGTAAGACTGCTGTGTAAAAACAACTGAGCCTCACTAACATATATGTGAAGAAACTTTAAGCTTACAAGAGAATTTAATGAAATGTTGAAACAGGATGTTTAGAGCTTAAGAGGTAGAGATGATGGTGAAATATATGGTACAGTTTCCATTTCCTTACTGGATCATTTTTATGAGCGTTCAGCACAGTGTAAATGCTCAATATTAGTCACATATGCAATGTGAAATTTATGTTGTAGAGTTAGTTGTGTTAGCAACATCAGTTAACGCACAAACAATTATATTTTCTGTTTTAATAATTTGTTTTCATTTTAAATCTCCATAAGGAATTGTAAATTGTGACTTGCATGCAAAAACATAGACACTTAGGAAAATTATGACTAACTTCAAATAATAAATACATATGAGAATTGCACAAACTGCTCCCAGAAAATAAACAACAGAAAAAAGCCAAAATTCATTAGTTAAATTACTCAGAATATTTTGATCAGCATGGCTGTAGATATTAGTTTAATGAAACAAAGAACAATTTGGAAAAGCAACTGATTAAAGACAATTCAAGGAGGAAAATGTTTTATTGTAGAAAAAAAATAGATAGCTAAGCCTGGTATGGGATTTGACTTACTGCAATGTAAACTAGGCTGTGAACTCCAAGTTGCTGCATGATAACTGCCCACATGTGGGCCCTTAATCCAGACGAAATTTGAAGAAGCTTAGGCTGCAAACAGATATCACCTTTGTGCCTCCATGAAATTTGTTCTAGTGGCTCAAAGTGAAAGCAAAAACATGCCCATGCCCTCTGTTATGCCACAGATGCCCATATGTGCCATTATGCAGCAGATGTCTGTTTTAAAGCAGGAAAGTGCAGGTAGCCTGCAGCTGCCTGTGCTCTCCAGGTGCCTTGAGCAGGTGGTCCCAGGGATTCAGGGGCCCGATCCTGAACACCCTGGGAATCCTTCTGCATGCGGGATTGGGCCTCTGAAGCCCTGGGAGCACCTGCCAGGATTTTCCCATTTTCAGATGCACACCTGAGGATAGCTGGGACACAAGGGTGCTCCAGTGCAGAGCTAACTAGCAGGCAGCCCCCAAAACTGAAGCACCCTCATGCCCCAGCCAGCCGCATCAACGTCTACGCATGTGTTGCTGCATACTAAAGAACTCTGCCATAGGATAGTATTTGTATCTACAAACACTAACCTGTGGCAGAGTTAATTAGTTTCCTGTGGCTTAATAGTGCTGCATGCATAGATGCTGAGACATTTACTGCAGACCTAATTAGGCAACTCCACAGTAAATGTCTCATGTAGACACATGAGATGTGTTTCAAAGGGTTGACAAAAAACATTTGATAGATAGAAAATACTTTACCTTAAAGACTAGGAGCATTCAGGGATGAGAGGAGCAAGATTATTTGCTCTAGATTGTAATAACATTTTCAATGCCTTGCAACCCGTCATCCCACTCCCAAATGCTAACTGATTTTCAAGACTCCCTAAGGTGGTGGACCCCACCAATTAGGAAAAACTGACTAAATATTCAGGGCCAGATCCTAGGCTGCTGTAACTTGGCATAGCTCTGTTGGCTTTGGTTTACAAGGCCTTGTTTAGGCTTTGACCCTCACAAGTCATTCATAAATGGTTGGCATACAGTAACTAAGGAAATCCTTGGGAATGTAGTCTGCAGTCACATGGCTGAGGGAATACCACCATTCCCTTAAATCTGCTTCCAGAAAATAATGGCTTCTTTATATAATGACCTGGAGTGAACCCTTCCATTGGTTATTCAGGTCGGACAGAGTTATTTCTTTATCTGGGAGGTCATAAACCCATTTTCTTTATACAGCTGGGTGAACAATACACTTTGTTAAATGGTAGCATAATTGTTCATATTTTATGCCCCTCAAGATTTTATTGAAGACAGAATTCAACTCAACTTTGCACCTTTTTAGGTTCCCTGTTGTCTGTGCAAAGCCTAGGAAAAAGAGAAGTGTCTAAGATAGCCCTAGAAAATACGTTACTTCCTAAAAAGCAAGTTACACACCTGACTCGTGGCTGGAGAGATTAATCTATCTGCCTAGGATATATTGCTATAATACCTCTTCTAAAGGCCTAAACCACAAGAGTCCTTTTTTAGAGGAGAAACACTTAGGGGAAAATCCTATTGCACTTTATGCACCCAAATGACGCCCCCCAGCCACATAACTGTCACTTTTGGCACTCATGCACAATTTACTATCTTATTCCACATTCAGTATAGATGTGCAAGAGCTGATACCACTACCACACATGCTCAATAGGCTGTGCTCTGGCCAGGCAAGTGTGGGGCATTGTACGCACATACTCAGGCTAGCATAGTCCCAGGTGTGCAAACTGAAATAGGATTCTGCCCATAGTTCATATTTTCAATTTATTTTTGCAACAAATAGATTGCAAACTTATCAAAAAACACTTTCAACAGCTCTTTATTTAATTTTTATTCCCAGGACAAAAAATTTAGCCTAGAATTAGATGTGAAATGTGAAATATGAGGTGTGGTAATTTATTCATGGTGGAAAAGAAGTGCGAGTGGGTTGACAACTGGACTCATAATGGAAAGCAATTTTAACAATGGAAAGAAAGACTGGTAGTTCTCTATAGTATGTGGCAATATTGAACCAGATTGGCTGTTTGTTTGCATGAGAACACTTACTTCAGTCATATCACCAGCAGGAAGAAGTTCCATATCTGCTTTCAGACTGCACGCATTGATTACATAATTGTACCTGAAGAATGAAAGGTTAGTGGTTTTAAATCCTCAAAATCAGAACAAAATCTCATGGATTTTGAATGACTGTTTGATCTATATGAATTAGTGACCGTGGCTATCATTCACTCTTTCAGATCCAGCTCTCTCCCTCATGGTTTCTTTGCATATATGTTGTAGCTGTATTAGGCTGTCAGCCCTGTGACAAAGTTGCTTCTGAAATTCTTATAATGAAATTCTGTATGGGTAGATATACAGTGCTGCACTTGGCAGCTACCAGTGGAGAGTGAGAAAGTCATATCTACAGAGGGTCTACAAACTGCAGAGAAAACTTCGTAGGTATTTAAGGGAATTTAGTATTTCCTATATTTTTCCACATTTCATTGGGTTGGATTCTTTTAGTACAGTTAATTTCTTCCAACTTGGAACTTAAAAAGTCTCATCCCATGTAAGATGGCCTTTTGTGTGACATGTGCAGCCTATATAAATATAGAAGCATGTACACCCCAAAATCACTGGAGAGGGGAATAAGCCATTTGTATTACTTTTCTCGCAGGGCTTTTGGCATGTACACAGCTACACATTACTGTGGGTGGACTAGTACCCAAGCTAGATCATTTAAACCTAGCTTGGATATATCTGTACTGCTTTGCAGACTGCAGTGTAGATATACAATATATCAATTAGTAGTGTCAGAACTCAGTAACTGCTGCTTTTGATTTCTGGAGATGTTCCTGTTATTTACTTTATGAAAATTGTAACACACTCATTGTCTTTTAATATTAGACACACATACTACTGCATCTGAAATCTGAACACATGCTACATAATAATAGGATTAAAATAATAATCAAATAATCATCACAATGTGTGCACAGTACAGGTCCTGAGGAAAGAAAGGACCTAATAATAAGGTAAGTCATAGAAAAAAATCAAAAACAAGAAACAAACAAAAAAAACCAGCCACAATTTGCAGCCTGATATAAAGTTAATATCACTTTTAAATAATCCAATTGCCTTCAAAGATATAAAAATAATTAAAATAACCAACCAATTAGATTACTCAGTTTGCAGTGTTGGACGTACATGTATAGAGAGGGACCTGGAAGCTTTAATTTTAAAGGAAGTTGATGCTGGGATCCTCACGTAGGTGATGTTTTCTGTTTTGTGATTGATCTTGTTGCACTCTTTCTGGTAGCAACTTTTGGTTGGCTGTGGAGGTAATGTTTTGGGAAATAATGTTTGGCATTGATGACTGCAGCAGATTACTGAGTTCTACTGAATGTAGATTGAATCTAGCACTTTCAGTGCCCTTATATTTTGCCACATGTATGTGTAAATACCATTTTTTACTGGTGCATCTATCTTCTAAGAGAAATGGAGCTCACTGGAAAGAAAAAGGAACATACAGTAAAAACACACGTGTACACTATATTTTAATGTTTACCTCTGTTCATTATATTCTGTTCCAAATAATATATTTTGTCTAACGCTTCCGTGAAATATCCATGCTTGCTGTGACACATAAGCTAATGTTCCATCAACACCTACTGTCCCATCATTCAAGTGCAACTGAAACAGATTTTTAAAAAGCAATATTATAACATAACTTAAATAAACTAGAGGCATTTTATCTGAGTTTAATCTTGCAGTATATAAAGTAGGTATTTAGTTTGTGGCTTAAGAAGAACCTGCAGTTCTGTTGGGTATTTACCCAAACAATTCCTCTAGGATGCCCTATTTATTGCCCTATTTTCAGGAATGGCTGAGAAGTAGAGGCTATCAAAGTGGCACAAAAAGCTTAAGCATCAATTACTATACAACTAGCTAGAAATATAGTTGAGCACCCTGAGCAGTGGTGGTGTACTGGGCAGTGACGAAGCTGCTGGCAGTGGTGGCAATGTTGTGTCATCAGCTATAGTAACCATTTTTTGTGCCCCTCCTTAAGTCAGCACAGGGGCCTGGTGCCTCACTTGTCTCCTCTTTAACTTACTCTACTGAAACTAGCTTTAGTTTCTACTTACGTTGTTTCCCACTCCTCTGTGTAGAATCCCTCTCCTGTAGAAGGTAGGTTGGAGCTGACGAATAGAACATTTCAGAAGCTTTCCAAGAGACTGACTTTCCATCAAAAATGTCAATGTATTGAAATCAAAATGTCCCATGAGAGCACGTCAATTTTGAAAAAACGTCACTGGAAACTAGGCAGAAGTTTCTCTAACAGAAACCTATTTGGTTTCCTGCCCCATTTTGGCAGCCCATCATCTGTACTGTTAGAAACTTACCATCCCAGATGTCCAATAGGGCTGTGCGAAATTTCAGCAGCCATTTCTTTTCAGAAGTGTTTCAGGCCATTTCTGCACCCAAAACACCAAATCTGAATCAAAATGGAAGGCTCAGAAACATCTCTGAAATGAAATGAGGTATCCAAAACATTTTGGAAATGTTTTAGAAATGTTTCAGAAAATTTCAGCGTTTCAGAGCTGTTCTTCCAGGGAAACAGCTGTACGCTGCTGCCCTACCACACAACCTGGCTCCCTTCCCTGAGGTCCCTTCCAAACCCAGTGCTCTGGGGGAGGGATGGAAAAACTGCATAAAAGGCAGCATTGTTTGAACTGCCCTGCTTTCTGCCTTGGGGTCAGTTACTGAGCTGTGTGTTCCAGTTTTGCCTGTCAGCAGCCAGGGGTGCAGCGCCCCAGAACCCAGACTCCCCCTGCACCTATATCCTTGACAGCTGGCAGGCTTCATGGCCGCAGCAGGGCCTAGGAGGCCTGCAGTTTTAACCCCCTGTGTGCCCCAAGACAGACATAGTCAGTTGCATAAGCACCCATGTCAGGAGTTTTGCCTGTCAGCAGCCAGAGGTGCAGGGCCCCAGAATCCAGAAGCCTCTGCACTGATCTCCTTGAAAGCTGGCAGGCTTCATGGTCTCAGCAGGGGCTAGCATGCCTGCAGCTTTCACCCTGCTGCACCTTAACACACACAGTGTCACCCATGTCACGAGTTTTGCTTGTTCACAGCTTGAGTTGCAGTTTCCCCAAAACCCCTGCACCTGTCTCCTTGAAACTTGGCAGGCTTTGTGGCCTCAGCAGGGACTAGCATGCCTGCAGTTTTGACCCTGCTGTGGCTTAACACATACACGTGACATGAGTTTTGCTTTCAAGATTTAAGGTGCAGTTTCCCTGAAACCCCTGCACCTATCTCATTGAAATTTGCAAGCTACATGCCCTCAGAAGGGGCTACCATTCCTGTAGATTTCATCCAAATTAAGCTAGAAATGACAAATTTATAGGCTGTTCCAAGCTTCCCCATTATAGCCTATGGGCGAACCGTCGAAACAGCATTGAAACAGTGAAACTGTTTTGACAAAATGAAACAGAACAGCAGTTTCAAATCGAAATTAAATTCAAAAGGAAACGCTGTTCCATTGAAATGTCAAAATGCTAGTTGAAATGGAATGGTGCCATTTCGCACAGTGCTAGCATACAGACCATTTCCATTTGCTCCACACACTTCTGTTTCCAGCAGACACAGTGCAGGGTCAGACTGCAAAGGCCTGTGGCAAGAGTAAATGCTTCTGAGAACCGCAGCCACCTCCTGATCTTTCTGGTGGGAGCAGCATTTATCTCCAGCCTGTGGCTGCCACTGGGTGAAACTGCCCTGCATGCTTCTGTTTCCATGAGATATGTTGGAGTTGAACTGTGAAAAGCTGCAGAAGAAGCAATGTGCCTGTCTGCATCTTTCTATTTTTCAAGATAGCTAACAGAATAGCATAACAGAACAAGCACTGTCAAACATTCAACAAGGTATATATTTCTAATATAAATGGAAAATAAAAGTCACTATAGAAGTTAGTCCAAAGTGATTCACATACCTGTCCTAGAATGGCTGATAATATTGAGCTCTTTCCACTTCCAATATTTCCACAAATACCCAAAACTTTTCCCTACAGAAGAGACATATTTTGAAGATACTTGAACTGTATTTGTAAAATAAGAACCCATGTCACATTGTCTACCATTCTGTGATCATGGAACAAGTAGTTTATACAGCCTGTTATACAGTGGCAATGCGCGTGGGGTGCACAGGGGTGCACCCCCTAAGAGCACTGGTGCATCCCCTGATAAACCACACTCGCTGCTTTGGTGATGGGCGGGGGGCAGCCGGGAGCACCGGTGTTCCCCCTGCAAGCACCGGGTGATCACTGCAGCTACTCCCAAAAGTGGCCACAGCCACTCCCGGAAGTGGCTGCAGTGATTGGCCACAGTGATCAGCCACAGGGGAACTGCCTCTGGGCAGTGTGATCTGCTGCAGAGGGACCACTCCCCCGGCATCGAGATCTGCCATGGGGTACCCAACCCTCCGGGCAGCGAGGCTGGTTGAGTGGGGGGGGGAGGGGGAGAGAGCATGTGCCCCCCGTGACTAAGGTGGCACCAGTCGCCCATACTGTTATACACTCTAATTCTTAAGAACACTCCTATTCTGGAAAAGGCACATAAACACTTAATTGTAAACTTGTACTTATGTGCTTTCCCATATCATGGCCATAATGCTTATCTGAAACCCAAGAAAATAGAGATAGTGTTAGAAGCAGTTTGGTAAAATCTGTACAACATATTGCCACTTGTAATAATACAGTAATACAAATCTTTTTTAAAGGATGTTTTTATTGTTTAGGGTTCTGTAGCCTAGGATTTTAATTAATGTAAGGAATTTACAAAATAAATCTCTATTTTGGTGACTGGTATAAACTGCTTGAATGCGCAGTTTATTTGCTAAAATTGGTCTCATTACTTAAGGGTGAGAGTTGCATTCCATTAACCATGTTCTGTGTTTGTGTACATAGCCTACAATAGGGTCTTGTTCCATCCTTGGGTTTCCTGTGCACTATGACATAATAACAGTAAAAATTATTACAGGCGACCCTTGCCATTTGCAGGGGATACATTCCCATGATCCCTGTGAATGGTGAAATCCACGAATAGGGCACTGCGTTTATAAACACAGTCTGCCTACATGAATGCAGTGCCCCTGGTGGCTTGGGTGGGGAGGCATGGCTCCGGCAGTGACAGCAGGAGCGTGGCGGTGACAGTGGGAGCACGGCAGTGACAGCGGGAGCCTGGTGGTGGGAGCCCAGCAGCAGCAAGTGCAGAGCTCCTGAAGAGCTCCAGTAAGTGTTTAAAGTGTATTTAAAATGCAGGTTCAGTATTCGAGAATATTTGAAACCGCAAATGCTGAACCCATGAATACCGAAGGTTTCCTGTATTATTTCTTAATAGTCCAACAAGTGCTTTACAGGTGCAGGAAAGGTGAGAGGAAAATTTAAACTTTTGTTTTAATCTGTAGAGCAGTGTAAGGCAGAGGTCACAGAAGAAGCAGGACATCCAAATAGTTGCATGGTAGATTGTTAAATAATCTATTGGACAATTATTTTAATACATACTTACCTTTTTCACTGTAAAGCTTATGTTACGCAAAACACAAACTTTGCTATCCACTTTTCCTTCCTCCATTGTCTGGGATGTCACCGTGTGAGAAAATTCAGGCTCTGTTTCCGGTTGGCATTTATAAGCATTCTTTCTGTTCATAGTCTTTTTATTCTTTTCATTTTTCCTTTGTCCATTCTGATGTTCCCAATATAGTGTAGCATTATCCATTACTACAGCATTTTCTGAATCTTCCAGTTGCTTTACATAAATAGGAGGGATTTCAGCTTTAAGAATTTTCTAAAATATGAGAGAGACGGTTTAAGAATGCTGCTTATTAGTTAAAATACGAAGAAGAATGAAAAACATATGACTGCTTTGATAAATTCAGCAAGAGCTGACTTGGTGAAATGGGGAGATTCTGGGCATACAAATTAGTATGGCAGCAAAATCTGTTCAGGAAAGGCCTTTTCCTGCAGTAGGAAACAAATATTGCAGCAGAAAAACTGCAAAAAGATTGTTCTTAGGAGATTTTCACTTTTAATATATGAGAGTTGGTGTAGTTTGATTAAATCTTTGAGCATTCGGATTCAGATCCGTTTGTGACTGCTTTATCTTAACAGAAAAATTCAGTGACTAGTTCTAATATAAAGGGCACCATTATGCAAAGACCTGGACACAGGCCACATCCAAATGAACACAGACACATGGGACAAGTAGCAGTGGCACACCCTGTGATGATGGGGCTCCAATACACCCACTCCACCATCCAGCAGGGGCTGAAAAAACCGCAGACTGAACTCCCTTCACTCCCTTTCCTCCCTCCCATTCTGAAAACAGCGATAGGCTGAGAGGCAGCACAGACAGAAATTATAGAATATGCTGTGTTTGGAAAGGTCTTCTTCTGACCTCTCATTCAATAAGTGTTCAGATTTTTGCCGAATCAGCCATTTTAAGTGGTCTGCAGACATACACTTGTTTGGCCATGACTGTAAACTATTTTCTATGTCCAGATCAGGCAAAAACTGTCACTTCTGTCTATGCCCCTAGGGTGCATCTACACATGAGATTAATGTGACTCAATAAGCTCCGGCACAGTTTGTGCCAGAGTAAACTGCTCCCAGGAGCAGCATCTACACATGTGGATGGGACAGCAGCAATTTGCGCTGGGACAGAGCAGGCCCCTGGCTGGCTGGGCTGACTGGGCGCAGTTTACACTCTATCTACTTGTGCATTTCAGCACAGTAAAGTACTCTACTGTAAGATAGTACTATCAGGGACTAGTTAATTAGCCTACTGTGCCCTAATACCGGTACGTGTAAACTCTGACACTTTACTGCAGAGCTAGTTCATCTACTCTATAGTTAAGTTCATGTATAGATGCACCCTCAGTATCTTAATTCAGAAAACAGTTCTAATTGGCTTATCAATAGGGCCAGGCATTTCTTTAACAGTCATCTTAGAGAAAATAAAGTAGAACCTATTCAGTCAGTTGTCCCATAAGAAGGCATGGAAAACAAGAAAATAGAAGAGTTGTTAGAAGGTAAGTTATATACAATCATGACAGCAAAATATAAAAGTTGTGCATGTTTTTAAAAAATAATCTAAAAATAATTCTCATATCAACTTAGTGAACCAATGTGTGTATATACATTAAATGCATAATTTATTTGCATATTTGAACACAGCAGCTAGACAGGCAGACAAGTCTATGTTGGTTCACTTAACAGTTGGATTAACAATTACTTTTAAATTAATTCCCATTTTTAAAAACTCTTGTAAAACTCCCTAATTCTGAATCCATGCCAACAGGAAAGCTGATTATTTTGGTCTCTCTTATTTTCTCTTGCCTCTTTAAATTTTTGTATACAGTACTTGGAACGTTATCCTAGTCCAGGATACTTGGGCATGCTTAAGTGCTGTGATGATGATAATAAAAAAGGGGAAGGATCATGGTAGCTTCCAATTTATTCGATAATTGTTTTATAGAACTAGTTTTAAGTAATATATTTTAGTTTTTACATTTTGAAATAAGATATGAAGTCACATAGGAATCCTTTAACTAGATCCTTTAAGAGCTAGATATTGTAGTTATTGCTGTTACAAAAGCTTCATCCATTGTCCAGCCAAATCTTTTTAATTGGATCAGGCACCAAAAACTCTTAACAAGGAGTAAAGTTATAGTTCACATCTATTTTCAGTAGAACATTTCTTAAATATATTCAAACAATATTTTACTTTCAGTCTTTTCAGGGAAACTTTAGCTTCTGCTGCTGCTTTCACTGAGTATGGCAAGATTGCAATTGAAAACTTCATTACATTAAATATAGCAATTACACTAAAAGCCTGCAAAGGAAAAATAGAGAGAGGGATTTTATGATTTTAGCACTGACTATTATTTTCTATAAACATTTACAATGTATTTTGTGTTATAATTTAAGGAATAGGAAAAAAGAAAGATAACAGTAAGTTCTTTGTGTGATTCCTATTTGAATAAATAAAACCTATGCAACTAATGCCCCATGCAACTACTTTCCATTTTCATGTACCTTTTGAATATTTTAAATTAGCATTGGTGCCATGACTGAGATTTCTTGGATATCACTTTGTGAGAATTGTGGCTAATTGCTCCTTGATCTTATGTCATTGATTTCAGTGAAGTTAGATACAGGGAGAATTTGGTCCAGTAACTGGAACTATTCAAACCTTTCTGGCCAACCAGCTCTTGATCCATTTTACTATACTAATATTGAAGCCTACTTTTTTTCTTTGTCCCTCAAACTGCCTGTGAGATACCTTACAGAGGCTTTACTGAAATTCAACTAAATCACATACATTGCTTTGTCTTCATTAGTATTCATTGTCACTCCTTTAAAAAAATTAAAGGTTTATGCTTCGCAAACCTATGCTGGCAAGTGTCTAACCTCCTGTTAAATCTAAGAAAAACACTATTCCATGCCTAACAAATAACCTAGTATTTTATCCTAAAACAGAAGTTAGACTTAATGGGTGCCTGTAGATGTGTGGGACACCTGCTCCAACACACTGTAATTACAGCGCATCAGAGGAGACTCAATTAACTGAGTTTGCTGGAGCATGCTAATTAGCACACTCCAACAGTCTCGGTGTCTCATGTATTCAGCACCCCAATGCTTCAAAATGGTGTCAAGAACACTTTAACTAAAGCTCATTGAATGAGCTTTAAAGCACCCCCACTGCCATTTTGAAGTGCGGGACACTGAATACACAAGACACTGTGAGTGCTTTAGGAGCCAAGACCTGCTCTAATTAAAGTGCCCTCTCCCACACCCACCCCACTTTCTTTCAGTTATCCTTCATTCTTCCTTTATGTAGCTGCATGCTGAGTAAAAAGATGATAACCTTTTTGCTTGCTTCTTATTTACTTCCCTAACTAATCTGGAGTGGATGTGATCTGCTGTAAGCACACCATTAATATAATATTTTCCCAAGTAACAGTCAATATGGGAAAGAGCTTTAGGCCAAGATTTTTCAATAGAATTTATGGGCTGTTAAATGTTTTTCAGAAAATAGGATTTTCAGCAACTTTTAAAGTTCAGGTCCCTTTAGAGTATTTCATGCTGGGTACCCTAAAATCAGAAATAATTTTTAAAAGCTTGGTCATGAAATTAATATGGATGAAACTGTAAAGAAATTAAATAGGTTCTGACAAAATTATTCTAAAACAAGATTTCCATGCCTTTATAGTCACAGAAAGTATCTGGGTGTTATGCAAGTCCTATAGGCAAAAGCAAGGAATCAGTCACATTACTGCAGGCCCTGCAAGAACTGACTGAAGCAGGTTTTCACCCAGATGTGCTATCTTTTCAGTGTTACATGGAATCTTTTCCTCTGGTTTTCTTTTAAGTTTTTGTTGTAGCCTTACTTTCATATCATAGTTAGTATTTTTGCCCTTAAATTCTCTGCACATCCAGAAAGTTTTGAATGAAAATTTCTTCTTTGTTTGCATGTTTACTCTGTCTGGCATTATTTTCCTTTAGCTGCTGCTTTCTAAATGGATACATTCATGCTGTTCAGGAAACAGAATTTTGCTTTGATCTAATTTTGGTCCCATTTGGAAGTAGTGGATGGTGAATGATCCCAAAGGTCTAGTCTTTTCTGTTAAAGAAAGCCTCTAAAAGACCATGTATCTTCATTTAGCAGGTGCACCAATTAGTAATCACATTAATTTATCAACTACACCTTTGACATGCAGTTTTTAATGGCAGCCACACTTGTTTATTAGCTATGTACATCCTGCACCAAAAAGTAATTAAGCTATGTTCTTTTCAGAGCTACCCTTCATTAAAAATCCCAGGGAGATAAAAAATTAATAGGAATGAAACCTATTGCAAAAAAGTTATAGTGCTACAGGGAAACAAGGGGAAAACACAACTGATGTTTAGAAAAATAGGTAAAAGGAGAAAGTCATACAACTGATGCAGTTAGTTCCTGCTTTAAAAGGGTGTGTAAAATAAATGTCATGACAACAGCCACAGTAGATACAATAGGTGTCAGAGCAAGGTTTACACTCTGTACATATCCTCCTTTTTCCAATATTTTCCTTTCCATTTTTCTGATACCTGTGAAAGATACAATATTGCAATATAAACAATGTGATAATAAACAAACTTCACAGTTCGCAAGAGAAGGCCATTCTGTATAGTAAAGGCCTTGCATTGATCCTGTGTTTGGGAGCCACATAGATCAGTAAGAATTGCCTGCATAAATCAAAGGTATATCTTTAAGTTATCTGGTTTCTGGTTACAGTTTCAATATGATTTTAAAATTAAACACTGTTTTTGCACCTAATTTCCTTTAAATTTAACATTTAACGAAAATGACAGTAAGCAAAATCCAGTTTTGTGGTGTGTGCGCTTGCCTGTGTATGCATATATTGGTTGTTAAAAAAATAAATGATGGATAATTAAATAACTAGACTTCTAAAAATTTGCACTTATGATCAGTTAAACATATACTGATTTTAGACAGCTCTTCTCCTCTCCTTTCATTACCAAATTAACTTGTATTTTGATACAAACATCATATTTACATACTCTACAGCTCAGAAGGGAACCTGAAGAGGGTAGAATTTCAGCTACCATGGCCTGTGATAAACTGGATGATAGGTTTGCTTGTACGGTTTCAAAACCTCTTTTTGATTTGAATAGAGGTTTATGTGAAAATAATGACCCAAAGCAAAATCAGAGGGGAAAAAAACATGAAGCGCGGTAAGCTGTACTGGAACTGACGAAAGCACATCAGTTACCCTTTTACACCAGTAGCTTTGGTGCTCTCTTTACTGGCCTGGACACCCCATGTGTGCACGACACTTTAAAGCGGGCTAAATGCTTTTGCACTGCTTTAATTGTGACGGTGTTTGCATGTGTCAGCGGCATATTGCGCATTAATTCCAGCCGCTGTAGGAAATTTGTTGGCGTAATGCGCCTGAAATGACTTGGGGCCCAGCAAACTAAAACTCCTTTGAGGGTTTAATCAGCCCTAAATTGAAGCAGTGTTTTTTAAAACCCACCGCTTCAATTTAGGGCCCCTATTTCATCTACACACGCTCAACAACTTTCGCAGGTCTCTTGTTGTTTACCTTTTGCAGTCTCCTTTGGCCTTTCCTAATGCTTTTAGCTCTTGCTCTCTCTCTGCTTCCTGTATGATGGGGGAACAGCTGGGTCATCTATCCCGATGTGCTTGAAACTGATGGAGGGTTGCTTCTTTGACATTCATAGTAACACCTTCTTGGGGACAGGAGCAGCCTGGTACTTTTGTTCCCTTTTCACTAAATCTATTTGCCCCAGTGTTTCATTTGTATTCTACTTTATCTCATTCAGTGTAGGATTTTCAGGCCCTCAGACCCATAGCAGGAAGCCTGGAAATCATAATTCAGGCGTCTCTGGGATGTTAGGATCTTTACTGCAGCTCTAGAATCACAGACTTGGAGCTTTTGAGAGCCAAGGCTTCCAGGGCTGCCAGGATTCTGGCTTTGTGGTAGGAAGCTGGAAACTGTGAGAACCCTGATTCAAGTAGGGGTTTTTTCAGAACTTCCAAGCTTGTAGCATTATGGCTCTGTGGCAGAAAACTTAAAAGTGATCTAGGGCCTGTCCACATGGCACAACTACCCTGGAGCCACAGCTCCTAGAAGCTTGGTCGCCCAAGCTGACTACAAGGAAGGCCAGCATAATATTCACTGAAACAAAAAGATAAATTAGCATTTTCCAGTGAAAACCTGTTTTGTTAGAAAATTTATGACCAGTTCTAATCTTTATCTCTATCCATTGGCTGGAACTCTCCTTTAAGAGGAGCACCTTGGTCTATTGTTGTCCCGGTAAGGCCTTTCTGGAGGACATGCATGGCAGCACTAGCAATCAGGGACTGAGTAAATACACAAGGTGCTAGGATGTCCTGTCCACAACCTCACTGCTATTGTTACCCATGCTAGCTAGGTTATGGTCCCATGGGTAAGCCAGCACATGCACAATCACATTTGGCTTTTATAACAGTTAAATGTAGCAAATGATTAGATAACCTATATTTAAGGAGTTAAATTTCCCAAAGTGTCTAAATGAATTGGAATCCTAAGTCTAACTAAGTCTCAATGGTGCTTCTGCTGTAGGGACAGATTTTTAAAGATTTCTGGGAACCTAAAGATGCAGATGGGGAGCTATTAGATTTTTCAAAAGCATTAGGTATTTAAGAACCTTTGTAAATTGCACTTTGAGTAATATTTCGTGGTTTACTATACTCTGTTCAGTAGAGAAACAGAGCAGATGGTTTCTGAAGAGCCTTCCAAAAAACTGATAAATGGTTTTAAAGATTATAACAGAGCAATTTAAGTTTCTGTATCTCACTGATACTTAAGAGAAAATCATGCTTACAATTTTGTATAGTACTTTAAAATACCAACTTTCAATTACCTTTAATGCTCATTGCAAAAGATGTTTCCCAAGCATACATTTTAATCATTTTAATGCAAGTTAAAATTTCATTTGTTGTTCTCAAACGCTTATCAGTTACTGAAACAGCAGCTCGTCTGAACATGGCTGTGAGCATAGCTGTGAGCATCTGAAATCAAGATATAAAAAGGTTATTACAACATCTCATAAAAATGTGAATGTAAGCAAAGCTGCCTAAGTGTGTGAGCATAGCAAAATACCTGTGCTTGGTAGTATCGCTAGGGGCTGTTTGCCATATATTTTTCCCTCACTAGTTGGTATTTATACTTTTCAGAATCTTCCCTCCATGTGCTTCCAAACGCCTTTTCAAATATTTATGCTTTCATTTTCTATTAACACTTACTACAATATTCCACTGTACATTAAGGGCCTCATTCAAGCTTCCCTTTATATACCCAGTAATATATATTGTATTGCTTTCTCACTCTTTTTCTACTACTCATTCTCCCTGTAAGATCTGGGTCACTTACCCTCCATTCAGGATCTTGTGAAAAACCAAAACCAAGGATCTATATATTCTCATCTTACACCTTTGCAAATCCAATATTTAGCATAAGCATTGATTGATTTAAAATAATTAGGAAATTAATTACTTTACCTGCAGAGGTATAAATATAATATAAACAAATGTTCCAATCAGTGCAGTTGGACCAAGAATAAGACAACAGTATACAGTGCAAACAGTTATTAGTATAGGCACTGTAATTGGCAGAGGACAAAAAACAGCAGCTTCAAATATACGATGGCCATCAGTAGATAATATATTGATAACCTACAAAAGTATAAAGGGATATATAAGTAACTGTAATGATATATATAATACTCCCTTTATAAATATATATATATATATATCTTTATAACAAGTGTTTTAAGGTGTCAAAGTGTTTTTTAAAACAAGTGGGCATGTCCCCAAATGCGTGGGGACACACCCAGTGACAGGCTTCGATGACCCCAAGATAGAACTTTCAGGGTCCACTGCCCCTATGTTATTTATTAGGATACCAAGGGTGCATACATGCATTACATTTAGCTAGGTCAATTTAAATGCCTATTCATGCAGGTATTCACAGGGTTTTAATTGCCCCAAAAATGGCATGCCTGCTTTAAGTTACTTCACCTTACCTGATCCTAGGAAGGGGTTAACCCAATCCAGTGAATGTCTGCACTCCTCTCGGGGACCCACAGAGCACCCCCCTCCCTACACTTAGGCCTTCTGGTCCCTCCAGAGACCTGCCAAACCCTCCTGAAGACCAGCCAGCTTGCCCAATCTTGCCTGCCCTGAGTTAAATTACTTCAGGCTCCCTGCACTACTCCTGGCAGCAGTGAATAGCTGCACATTCTACTCCCTGTCTAGGTTTACAGTAAGTCACCTAAACCTAGACTGCGTCTAACAAACATGTTTGCACCCCAAGTAGATTCAGTGAATATACTTTTTTCTTAGCACTTCACTAAAACAGCTTGCACATTTATAACTAGCAGAAATTATAGAATACCATTATGAAAACTTACCTCACCAAAAGAGATATGTGCCAAAGATTTAAATGCCAATAGATATTCAAATGCAACTGTAGACAGAGCAACTTTTAATCGTATAGCTGTACGGTAGTTGATGGCCCATGCCAATGCCCAAAGTATTACTTTGAAAAATTCAGCAAGAAAAAGTGCTATGCAAAGTCCAATTCCTGTAACAATATCTTTGGACTTGCTTTCGCTGTGCTGTAGGATCTTATGAATGATCACAGTCTGCAAAGTAATATCAGAGAGATTTTTTAAAAAAATCATTATGAAAATGTTTATAAATATACTAACCTTTCAAAAAATTCATTTAAATTTAATTTAATTTAATTTAATTTTACTATTAGAAAGTCTTTAAATTGCAGTCTCAGTGAGCGAATATATGTCAGCTTTCAGTTTTGGTTTGTGGTCACAAATTATAAAATTAGATGCTTGAATTATTGAATCAGTACCATTTATATCCTGGTAACGGTCACTGAAACGAGGTCAGGTTGCTAGTGACTAAGAGTTGCCACCTTTCTTTGATGGAGGTAATTATAAACAAAGACATTAGTTAATAAACAGCAACAAGGGTGATTTCAGCTACCTCCATTTTAAGTGGTTAAATGTTTTATCAGGGTAATGTTTAGGAAGGGATTCCTTAATAATTTGAAACCAATTGCTTTCTAAAATAACTAATTCTAAAGGAAGAGATTATTCTTATTTTAAAGCCAGATGCACATTGGCAAGGTAGGTACCAGATGGGAAATAGACAGAAGTTAGTCTTGAAAGTCACAAAAAGCAGTCCTAAGTAACCCTGCCACCTGGTAAGTGCCTGTTATTCATTTGGCACCTATATTTCGGGCTGCAAAAATCTCTCAGTACTTCAGTTTAGGTTTCAGCACATGCACATGAGTGCTGAACAGCTAGGTGGCTAACTCTCACCTAAGCACACCTAATGCATACTGGCAACATTGAATTTAATGCAAAGTGCAGCAACTGATGTTACTTTCACTCAAAAGTATGACTTCTGCTTGCCAGCTAATGGTTAGAGAGAGCACTTCCCCAGGAAGCAGAAGAACAGTTTTTAAGCCCTAGAAAAACCAAGGGGATTCAAAACCACATCTCAGCCCACTTCCCAGCATATGATCACTGTAAGGGCAACAAATTTAAAGCTGATAAAATGAAACATTTATTTATGCAAAACTACATTAACCACTGGAATTAACTGCCACAGATACCAGGGTGACTAGGAATTTATTGGGATTGAAAAAGGTTCAGACATTTTTCTGGGTAATGAGAATATCTACAGTTACATGACATGGGAGGAAAACACAGGCACTACCATAGTACAAATAATACATAATAATTAGAAAGTCTCTTGCTTCAGGGTAAAAGCTGAATACCAGCTGTAGCAGTGAGGAAGAAATGGATTACAAAGTTGTACCTGTTTCATGAATAAAATCTTTAAGACTTCAGTGCCTAAGGCCACATCTATATTTCCTCCCTGCTGACCCCTGAACTACTGCAAGAAACAAGTCCCTCCATCCATTCCTTTTTCTCCCACACCAGACCTAGCAATTAGGCCCCATACATGCCTTAGAGGGGTATTAAGTCTGCACCCCAAGTGCCAGTCTCAGGTTTTCCTGAGACAGATGATACAGTGATGGGGAGGAAGATGCAGTCAGAACAAGTGAATGTTGCTATTAGGATCTCTGTGAAGAATTTACTGTTTAACAATAAAATACTTTAGATTTCCATTGATTCATCACATGTAGACTATGATATGTCCTTTTCCTTAAACAGGTAGCTGGACTGTTGGGAGCTGAAGCTGATATCCCATGTCCCCAGGAAACCTCTTTAAAAAACTGTAATAAAACATCAGGTTTGACCCATACCTTCCATATCATCAGGTATTACTAATACGCTCCATACATCAAAGTAAGACACGGCTTTATAAAAAATGTAAAGGTTAAAGATTTAAGCTCATTTTGTCCTGAACTGTCTTTGGCCTCCTCGTATTACAGGCAATGAATAGAGAGAATGGCCTTTAAGGCCTGTTCATACTTTAAAATTCCATCAGTGACTGAGTAACAAAAAATGGTTTCAGTTTCCCACATTCAGTTCACAAGAGGTGGTTAATGGGAGCATACTATGACTATTCTAGCAGTGGAGCAAATCCTGCCCTGGATGCTTTCTTGACAGTGGAACTGGTCATATGCAAAGTAGGGGCAGGGTTCTAAGGGTTGTGCAAGGGTTACATACTCCTGGTTTAGCACACAGCTCAGTAACCACTTCTTGTGTCAGCTGTAAGTAGGAAATAGGAGCAGAAGAGGGAGATGGAGAGACAGGTCAAAAGACTCTGTTGCAACCACAGATCCTCTTGTCTAACCCACACAGCAAAAAAGAGTGTCTTGGAACTAGATATAATGCAACTGCCTTCTGCCCTTAGTTACAGAAAGCTAAATCATTATAAACCAGTTGCAAACTCATTTAGGTGTGTACAAATAAGCATCTGTACCAGTTTAACTAAAAATTATTTTAGTTAAACTAATACAGTTTGTGAAGACAATGTCTGAGATGCTCTCCTCCAACTTCCATGTGTGTCTGTGTTCATGGAATCTGACTAGAAGATGTCTCTTCATTAATATTCTAGTCTCTTCACATCCAAAAGGAAGGTGGCAGGATGGGTGGGTGGGTAACACAAAGCTCTGAAGAGAGAAAGGATTTTTCCTTTTTTAGTATTAAATCATGTTACTTGTTCAGATTCTAAAAACACAAAAACGCTGCCTCCTAACTCTTGCAATATACAGTTATAATTATTTGTTCCTCTAACATTCATATTAGTGCCTTTGCTAGAACATGTGTAGAAAATAAAAACAAAACAAAGGTGAACAGATAGTCTTGGAAAACTTTGGCAACATTTACCCAACTATTGTACCATTTTTACTTGTTTAGTTTTCAGTTTTCTTCTATGTAATATGTCACATTATTGTTTAACTAAGCACAATCAAACCTTCACCATAGTAGAGCTCAATATGTTACTGTACACAAAAAAGTTATCAGGAACATAGGACAAACTATATGCTTTAGCTTAATATTAATTTCTAGGCTAGTGTTAGTTCGGTCATTAGACTTAAGGCACCCCTCAGATAATGCCAGCTCTTAGCTGTCACTTTTCTTTGACAAAGGAAAAATAATAGGAAAAATAGTTGTTGCAAAAAATTCAGGAGGACCACAACAGATCAGAATGTTTTGCACACTATGGGCACAACCCCATGAACAGGAACAGGCATTTCCCCGGGGACAACTAGCAGCAACACATATTTGTGCCCCACATGTGCACTTTGATGCAAAGCAGATTGCCTCAGGTAGAGTAGGGGAGGCTGGGGCCAGTACCAGGGCTGGCCCCAACAGCCTTACTTGGAGTTTTAGGGGCCTCTTGGGGCTACAGCGGTGGCGATCTGGTTGCATGGAGCCTGGTCGGCAGTCGGAGCATGGGGCTCTGACTGGCCAGGTTCTGGTTTCAAGCGGTACACGCTGCAGCCACATGCACTGCCCCGCTTTTTTCTGGCACAATTTTTTTTTCACACTAGGATCTCCCAGTGTCAACCCCCACAGCTTGCTGCCAATTAGCACCATGGCAAACACACACATTTGTAGTATGTGCAGTTTGTGGCACTGCAGACAGGTTTGCAGTGATGCAAAACACACATGCACACTTGTAAGGATGTGTCCTATGAATTCCTATTTGAAATAGATGGTTTAATTTTGTGAATCATGTAGATACTTGCATACCTAGCAGCAGTAATGTTATGTAGCAACTAGGGGCACCCTTGAAAGGGTCTTACAGCACCCAGATTGAGAATCATTGTTATAGGTTATTTAAATAACCTCTATCAAAGCAGAATATGTAAAGAATAAACTGGTAATAACAAGAAATAATAATACATTTTAAATACGTAACAGACAATATTACAGTATTTTAAAATACGTATTTTAGGGTTTTTGCAGTAGTATGAATAGTACTCACCGGTCCTAAAGAAGCGAAAACAATACAAATAAAATTTACTATTGCATCTACTAGAAGTCGTGTTTTCTGAAATTTGAGAACTACTCTGTCCAAAGAAGCCTTCTCAGGCCCAACTCTTGCAAGCTCTGCTTCCCAAAGGCATCGAAATCTATAAAAACAAAGGGTTAAATAAAACACCATAGCAGTTCTTCCAGTCACAGCAATTTATCAGAAACGTATAGGAAACTTGTACTTTAAATAGAATTAAGATTCAGTTCCTCACCTTGTCGTTTAATACCATAATAGAAGTCTAAAAAGTATTGCATAGAGAATATTTTTAGACCTACAATTCATGAAGGGAATTCATTATTCAAAATAACTGTTCTAGGAAAAACATCACATTGAAACTTTGATCTAAAGTTTGCATGAGCTATTTAGCAAAATACACATAAACCAAAATGGAATGAACTTAAGAAGATATGAGAATTTCAGTAAGTAATTGATTGGTTTGTGATTGTAACTATGGCCAAACTAATTAATACTACCACGAAATTAATATTACATAAGAACTTTAATATGCTATTTCTAATCCATTAATGTGCAAAATTTACCAGTCCTTTCAAAGAATTATGCAGTGCATTTTGATTTGATCCTACAAGATGTTGTGAGTTCTGTTCCTGATCCAGTAACACACCTAGACGTGTTTAAAATCATAAATACACCTGCATGAACATGCAAGATAAAGGCAAAAATGGTTAGTAGCTCTGTGTGCAACCTGTAAGGAAGAAATTACACATTACACTTAGACCACACTAAATCTGTGGAGTGTTAAGAGGTTTTAAAGTTAGAGCAGGCTGTGAACAGTCGCATGTTAAGAGTCACTGTTTCTTGCCTGTTCAGTTCTGACTTGCCACTAGAGGGCTGGTGAGCAGGGACATGGCTAGGAAACAGGTAATCTAGGCAATATCCCTTCTCTGGGTTAAAGGGGGTGTGGGGAGGGGGCTGGGAGTAGTGCATCCTGAGATGCTTGAGGACTGCAGATTACTCCTTTTATCTCTATGGAGCAGACAGAAATTATCCTAATATAAGGTAGGTAGCACAGTCTAGAGTTAACCCTCTCTTGAAGTGGCATAACTTTAAGGTGATCAGAGGGCACTTAGCACAAGTTAGCAAGCTTTAATGTGTGGATGTTCACATTTTAAATGCCCTCAGTATGGTCTAAATATAAAGTGTAACTTTACCCTAAGGCTCAATTTTGGAACAGTAATTGATTTTGTCTCCTGTTTTATTGCTGTGGGGATCCCCAGCATCTTATATGTGATTAGGGAGAATGAAACAAAACTTTGAAAGAGTGTTTTATTTTCTTTTTTACTCTCCCATTTTCTTTCCCTTTTGTGTATTTTAGGATATGGCTGGCAATTATTTTTCTTCTGTCCTTAACTCATCCTACATCTTTTCTTTTAAATTTGTCTTTCTTAAAGATCCTGTATTATGTGAAACAGTAGAAACCATGCAAGACATTTTCCAGCTAAGTTCTTCCATTATATATTACATCAGGTACCCTCAAAAGAGCTCAGCATCAAGGTTTCCAGTGAGGACAGCCACATAAGCAGAAATCTTACATAAATAATTTTACTGAAACTGAAATGCTACCTTTTTGCATTTGGATCTGAACTATCATGATATGATAATGGAGGTAAGGTGTCCACATTTACATTATTCCTGTATCCTTTGATCATTAAAGATGAAAGCCAAGAAAATGTAGCAAATGAGAACAGCCCTGCATTATCTACTGGATTAATGGCAGATCTAGGAATAAAAATAAAGATATTACTACAGTATTCTACAAGTCCATTTTTCAGTTATCTCACTGACCTTACAAATGTTAACTGTAGAAAATTATATTTTCTGAGCCATATAAAGACCTTTTTGCACTTAGAAGCAGAAACCATTATGCATCCATTAACAGAGTGATAGACAGCATGAATACACTACTTATTAATTAATGATAAGGTAATGTCACGCTGTGAGGGTGAGGACTCAGTTTCTAGCTTCCAGAGCATGCTGTGTGCTCAGCTTCTCAACAGCTTCTCTATTTGAAATCGACTGGCATTTGCTGCATTTAACCAGTATCCTTCTCATATAATGCTACAGGGCGTGCACAGAGCATCAGGGTAGACACTCATGTTACTTTTCAACAACGCTGAAATGTCATATTCTGTCAGATTAGCTCAACTCAGATTATGCCTAAAATTGTCTTGACAATGTAGTGACCCAGTTAACAAACAAAATAAAGCAAGCAAGACAGCTGGCACTTCATAATAGCACAGTTAATGCAATTTCAACTATCCTGCAGATTTTATTTCTATTTTTTAAAGTACAAACAAATGCAACTTGCTTTGCTCCAATGCGCACAGGAATCATTGTTTTTAAACTAAGTTCATATTTTTCATGAAAGTTCCTTTCATTATCTTGTATGTTTAGGTTGGGTAGCAGATAAGGTGCTGAAGTAAGCATTTTACGGATCCAGAGGTACAAGGTTTCCTGTCACTTGTCGGATCTTTCTTTGTAGTAAAAAGAGAAAAAAAAATCATGTTAGCTTTAATTGCAATTTTAATTAAACTTTAACGTGTTACAAACCATATAACCATTTGCAAACCATGACAAAAATCTGGTAATTCAAGATTAGAATGGAAAAGATCTTCATAGTCATTTGTTTCATGCCATCCCCATTACTATGGTTGCTCAGTTACGAGACCTATAAAAACACACAAGCAGATGCATAGCTGGGCAGGTCTGTACACAGGGCAGCGCCAGCTCCTGCTGTGCTGATTGCAGTGGCACCATCAGCTGCTGCTGCAGTAATGGCTGCTTTGGCATCCTCCCACAAAGGCAGTGCCGGAGGATACTTCCCTGGTCCTCCCCCCCACCCCTCCCCCAGATACGCTACTACACAAAAGCATTCATAAGACTGAGTTCCCCTTTTGCTTTGTGATGTTTAAAGAAACTGTGTTTTGCTTGCTACATTCAACCATAACACAACGAATGCCTACAGCTCACAAGTCTCAAAATCAGCTCATTTATTTCTGGTGCCTACTTATGAATAGGGGGCTTAACATTAGCAACCCACATGTAAAACTATATTGACTTAAGTGTTTAATCAAATCTGAGTCAACATGTCTAATGTTGTTGCACCAGTGACATTGGTTTTATATCACAAATATTAAATATATCTTCAAAATGTTTTTGTACGCTGTTATACCCTCTTCTTCTGTAATTACCTACTTAAAATCATTCAATTTATCTTTTATTACCACTCAATTACATTTAGGATTGTCTTATTTCCCATATCTGTTGTTTTTCTGTGAATTGCTATACTAAGATAAGACGGGGCTTAATTCTGATGTGCAGATGTAGGTAAAAATGCACTGATGTAAGTGGTAGTATTTTTTATTAGGACTCCAGGATGTAGACCTTAACCTCTCCCCATTTGTTTTATCCTCTAATATTTTATCTTTTTGCTAGTCTTTTTTCATGGTCTCTGTCTTTTTCTAGTGAAGTCTTGAAACTGTAATCAGTCTGAGTCAGACTATATTAAAGTTATGTGAAGATATGCATATATACTGCGTCTTACTTGCTCTCCCTTGAATTTAATTTCTTTTTTTTTTGGTAACATCTCTAAATTCATGTTGGATTTTTGTGCCTACATCCTTCTCTATATCAAAGTAGTTCAATCAAGAGTCTACATTTTGTATTTCTGATTTCCTCATTTCATAACTGCTATTCCATTCACACTCATCTCTTTTTAAGGTATTCAATCCTAGTGATTTCTGTGCAGTTCTCTAGGCTCTCTTTATCATTCTGTAAATTCTTTGTATAAGATGGTATGTTTCCAGGCCATCCTACAGGTCATCTGTATATTTAATCACTGTACAATATATTTCTCCTAGATTATTGAAAAAACCCAAACCATAGATCCAGTATTGACAATAGCAGGATCTGTTTGATACCTCTCCTTTTCCTTTAATTTTGTACCACTTATAACTGTTCTACTTATGATTCAAGCAGCAGACTTTGCATTAATTCTGTGGTTTTCCTATTTAAATCTGAGCATTTATATATGTCCAATTAGATACTTCTGAGAGACTATGTTAAAAAGTGATGGATAGATTCTTTGGTTTGGATAAGCTGAACATAGCACAGGACCTAAGAGGATTTTATCAAAATTGGCATCTTTCTGCTTCCTCAGCCCCAGAGCTGTATGCCAAACTCAGTCTCTGGAATAAGTTAGAACAGTAAGGGCCAACCTTTTTGGCAGGCATGCCACAAATTAAATCCCATATCCTCTATGATTACCACTCCACCACCATTCTCCTGCCTGATCAGCTGCTCTGCTTTCTGCCCCCTACCCCTTCCCCAATCTCTCATGTGCCACGCAGAGGCTGCCCATGCCAGTTGTGGCACACGTGCTGCAGGTTGGCTACCCCGAGTTAGAATATCCTTCAAGATGTTTGGTTGTATCTGTGACTGCTTACCAACTCGAAGAAGCATTCTTGTAATGTAGTCCTGACTACAGTTCCTTTACCCTGGCCTCACTTTCCACTTTAGGATCTGTTGTGGAGTAACAAAAGTATCATGCTGCAGGTGACTTTTCCACCATGTCTGCATATTTCTATCTGGTCTGTGAGGGTGCTGTTACAATTTACCTTTAAATAATCCTAAATCTATGGACTGTTAGGCAGTGTTAAAATTAGAACCACTTCAGAGCAGTTAAGGCTTAACGCCATCTTTGACCTGCACAACTGTGACTTGCCACTACAAGGCCTGGCAAGCAGGGACATGGCCAGGAGCCAGGACTCTACCCCTTCTCTAAGAGCATAGATCTGGGGGTTAAGCATAGTGAGAGCATGGAGCCTGGGGAAGCATGCCTCCCTGGGCTCCATGCTCTTGCCACTCAGTGGTTCCTCTTGCAGCACAGAGCTGCCAGGAAGTAACTGCAGCAACAACGTGGACCCTGGGGAACACAGGCGACTGGTAGGGGGGGCACATGCCTCTCCCTGAGATTGGCCCCTGACTTGGCACTGCTCAGGACGGGGCAGAATTTTTGCCAAGTGGGCTGGCAGTGGGGTGGGGGGAAGGGGCACTAAGCCACGGCACAGAAGTATAGGAGTGGATATGGGCAGACAAGATTCTTTGGGTGAATCTGATATCTTTTATTAGACCAATTTAAATAGTTGGGGAAAAAAATTTTAGCAAGCTTTTGGGTTTAAAAACCCTTCATCAGGCTGAAGAAGTCGCTGCACTTGGTGTGTGCTCTTCCTGGATGGTATGAATAGTAAAGAAGCTGGGCTGCATACAAGATAGGCAGTCAGTGAAGATGTAAACTGAAGAGTCAGTGGGTGAGAAACAGGCTGGGTGGTGAGGAAAAAGGAGATGAATGTAGCAGTTAAATAGTGAAGAGGTACCTGGGGAGTCAGATGTCAGGCAGGTTAGAATGTGTCATAAATCCAATGTCTATATTTAGTCCGTGATTTTTTGTACCCAGGAGGCTGATGAAGTGAAGTTCATAGGCTCACCTCTGAGAAGTGTTTTGTAATGGGGCTTTTGGCCCATCCCTGGGTCCACCCACAAATCGTGTCCCCCCAGACTCAGGAAGCACCAGTCACCCATGCTGGGGAAGCATGCCTTCACAGACTCCATGCTCTTGCCACACTCAGTGTTAGGCAGCCCTTTGCCCCCACCCCACAGGAGCACGGAGGCTGGGGAAGGAAAGCCCCTCCAGTCCCAAATTCTCCTGGCTCTCTAGATGTCAGGCAAAGGCTTAGCCCTCTGGGGGGAGGGTCATAAGCTTGGCATCCAGTGCAGGAGCCTGAATTGGTCTCCTGGGGTCCTGGAGCCAGCAGTGTGAGGCCATGTGGACTGAGGTCATACCCACTGGTGGTGGGTGGGGGTGTTGTTTTTTGGGACCAATACTGTCCCCTGATCAATACAGCTTGGGAGGTTGGAAAGTTTGACAGGTAGAAGGGTTGGATAACTGCAAATTCCTCACTTTATCTCTGTGGAGCAAACTAACAATTCTCTAGCTTGGGCTAGGTAGACTATCTCAAAGATAACCCTTGCCTCAAGTGCCCTCTAACTTTAAAATGCTTAGAGGGTACATAACACAGTTTAACACCCTTTGATGCATGGATACTCCCATTTTAAGTGCCTTTCAAATGGTTTAAAGGTAACTTGTAACACCATCATAAGGTATTAGTTTTGCAGTTGGGGAGTTAGAGGTGAGAAGCTATTTCAAGCAGAGTTCAACTCTAATTCACAGTGGGAGCATCTATATGAGATGTTCACTGTGGAGCTGACTAATTAGCTCTGCAGTAAATGTCTCAAAATCTACACGTGCACCCCTATTAGGGCACAGGAAACTAATAAACTCTGCAGCAAGGTAGTGCTTGTAAATACAAGTATTACCCTGCAGTGAAGTTTTTTCATGTGCAGCAATACACGTGTAGAGGATGACCTGGCTGGCTGGCATGAGGGTGTTTCAGTGCAGGGGCTGTCTGCAGGTTAGCCCTGCACTGAATCACCTTTGTGCCCCAGCCAGCCCCTCTGTAGCACATTGAGCTCTGCGGCTAACAAGCTGCCACCCCACCATTCCCCCAGTCCCTTGTGAGCCTGGGACTGCTCCAACCCAGCTCAGTGTGTTACAGTCTGGGCTTACGTGTAAATGGCACATCTGGGAGCTTCCCAGGAGCAAGAAACTACGGGGCATTAAGCTCCAGAGTTTATTGCTGTGCATTAATGACATGTGTAGATGCCCCCAGTGAAGAACACAGAGGATGGTAGTCCTTTCCCAAATTCTATTTCTTCCAGCCATCAAAGTCCCCTCTCTGCCATATCTATCAGATCCTCAACCTCATTATATGGAAGAACTGCTGCTGAGTAGAAGGGCCTGGAGCTTCCTTCACATGATCCTTCATAAGGTCTCCAAGTCTTTCATATAGGCTCCCTTCTATCCCCCAGAATACAGTATTTGGCTCATAGCTTTAGTGTAACATGTTATGTAAATACCACAGGAATGTAGATTTATTCTACCAGGAACCTCATTCTAATTTTCCTCGCACTGTTTTGCACCAGTTGACTTAAAACAGGATTTAGATTTATTTCATGGAAAATTGACATTATGCCTTTCTAGACTATGCAAATAATAGGAATGTGGAAACAGGCATGCTATTCATTTCCATCGTTATTGCTTTGCTTTGTGCTCGGTCCACTGTATCTGCCATTTCATTTATTTGCACAGTCTCTAAGGCCAGCATGCAATGGCCAGGGGAGCCTTGGAATATTTTCATCCAGGAATGTTTAGGCACAGTTACTCTGGCCACAGTGGGCAGGTTCTCTATTGTAAACTCTACCTGTGTTCCTCATTTTAAAGCTGTAAAGTACCACTGAAACCCAACAGCCCTTTATATTTTTCATAAGGCACATTAGACCCAGTAGGCAAATTTAAACGAAGTGCTTGACATAACGTGCTGAGCACTGAATACACAGCAAAGAAAAATGAACTCTTTTCTGGTGAAGCAGGACTGACATTTTTTTAAATACTTTTTTCTAGCATTCTCCAAAAT